AAAAAAAAAAAAAAAATCTTCAAAAGTAGCACAATGTCTTGGCAGAGCTATCTTGGTGATTCTATTATGACTACTGTTTCATGCCATCTAAATATTAGATGCTTGTGTTCCCATTCCTTAAGAACTTGACTTGTAAAGGAGGCCTGCTCCACAACTATTTCACATAAGAAAAATAAAAGTTCATTTCAGAAACAAGGAGGAGAAGGCACTCAGTAATTCCACTGTGTCTTAACAATGAAGGAGCAGAGCACATCTCTGCCCCTTTGGAGAGACATGAGTACATGCATCTTTCCTTACTGAGAAAAATATGATAAAAAAAGCATGATTAGCTCCAGGGCTAGCTTTAGGTATGGATAACGTGGGCAGTTGCCTGACATAGCAGATTGGTGAAGATGGCCAAAGGCCCCCAGAAATGGATGACAACTATACCAGTGCTATCTGGATATGGCTGAGTCCTAAAGGAAATCTACCTTCACGTCTCCCCAGCCACCTTTCATTCCTGAGTCTACAGCATAACCCAATACCTACTCCTGTTTAGGTCCACTGAAAGAAACCTGTATTCTGTATCTCTTTTCCTACAACATCCTACTTTCCTTACTTAGTTCAACTGTCTGTCTATGCCTTGTTACACCTCTTTAATGCTCATCCTTCCCAATCCTCACTTCTAAATTTACTTTCTTTCTCGGAAAAATTTCAACTACTCTAATCCTCTGCTATTCTGTTTTATCTGTACCTTCTGCAAAATATTCCTTCAAAAAAAAAAAAAAAAATTTCCTGGAAGAAACAAGGAATCTTCAAGGGCAAACAATAAAATACATGAAGTCCATCAGACATACAACTTCTCACTCTTTTCTTTATTTCTTAATTTTTTTTACTATTTCCTTACTTTTGTTTTCCATATAGAGGAGAAAACAGGGTTCAAACTTAGTGCTTTTCAAAGTGAACACATACACAAAATTAATTGAACTGATCTCCTGGGCGTCAAATGTCACCACAAATTAGCTGATTGTGGAAAACTTACTTTGTTATACTCACCAGTTTCAGAAGTTTTCACCAGAAGTGGGAAAGATGACTGATTCCCATGGCCAAGTCTGGTGAATGCCCATACAGAGATGTTGTAGAGAGTATATGGCTTCATTTCACGTAGTGATATACTTGTAGATGAGGCATTTTTGATAAATAAGTCATTGGAATCACTGTATAGAACTTCATAGTGAGTTATGAGACCATTAGGCTGCTCAGGTGGTAACCATCTCAGGTTTATTTCTGTTGCAGTTACATTTATTAACTCTACATTTTGGGGTGGAGAGTCTGGTTCTGGAATACAGAAATCAAAGAGGGAAAAAAAAAAGAAAAACAACTTCTGAAACTTTGTTAATTGAATATAGGACTGATCTCCTAAACCTATTGGATCCTAATATTCAGATATCCTAAAGGTTACAGTAGCAATGTGCATAGCTAACTGTACCAAAAGGGTTACACTCACCCATTTACTCCCCTTGTCAAAACCTGACCACTTTTTATCTGTTTCTGTATTTCTTCTCTTTCACTAATAAAACTAGTCATCTTTTTGCATCTCAGACATTAGCTTTTCTTGAATTTCTTTTCTCATCCACTTACAAATCTATCCAAAACTGTATCTATTAAGAAAAAGATCTCTTCGGTCTTCTGCTGTGATGCAGACCCATCTTTCAAATGCTCTCACTGGCTTCCTTGAATTCAAGTTCTTTAACTTTGAATGCTGTTTTACTGCTTTCTTCTTAGACAACCACCCCTCTTTTTTCACTCAACCAACCACTGAACCAAGAAAGGGATTGTATGCACTGTAACTAAACTCCCTTTAGTTTACTGACACAGCTGCTAATTGATGACCGTGAAGACCCCAGTGTAAAACTTGTATGCGCTGGTGTGAAGGTCATGTACAAAACAAGTCCAGCTCCCGAGTACTGTGTTGGCTAAATCTATTGGCAACATAAGATTTCACGTGACTCCAGTCAGCTAATAACACATGGAAGGTTGAAGGAGTGAGTGGGCTGCGCTTATGAATAAAATCAGCTCTGAATGTCAGCCTTGATTCCTCTGAAGGCATCATCACTTCACCCCTGAAATGACCCTTCTATAAAATTTAAAAAGAATGTAATAAGAACACAGGATTATGTGATTCAGTTTCTGTACAAATGCCCATATGCAGATATTGCAGAATTTATCTTGAATATTTTTGGCCTAAAGGTCTCACAAACCATTTTCATTCCTGATTTCTGGGCTCATAAATGAAAAGTGTTAACAGTAACAGATCACTACTCTGAATGGCAGGACTGCCCACATGGATATTTCCCATGTGAAGAAGCTTAATTTTCAATTGAAATGCATTTTGCAATTTATCTGGCATGGAACAATATTTGAATGCCACAGCCTAGTATCTTCCATCCGAAGTTATCTGAGACAGATGTAGTGAATTTTTTATTTGGAAGTATCTCTGTTTTCACCTAATCAAGAGTCAAACATGTTTTCTCTCCTAGATTGGCTAATGTTAGGAGACATGAATCTCCACTTGAATTAGCTCAGGAAAATTAAAGAATAAAAATAACAAGCCAAGAGTAATTATACATAGCCTTGTAAAAAGGTAGGAATTGTGGGTGGCTTTCTCAATAGTTTCATCTAGGCTTGTGGGCATCTCTTAGCAATAGATGAAGTGTTGGTCTGAAACTCTACTCTGAACAAATTTCTGTCATGCTTAGAGGCAGGGAATTGTAAACTTTCAGAGAGAAGATATTTATGTTGGTAATTTTCTGTTCTTGCGATATGCCTTTCCTCTGCAAAAAAAAACCCAAAAAAAAACCTAACAGCACAGAAGCATGCAACTTTAAAAAAAAATTTCTGAGTACTCTAAGTTTCAGTTTAATTTGATATTTTGGTTGGTTGATTATTCAAATCATCTAAGCTTCATAAATCCCAATAATTTTTAATGCTGAGCAGAGTAATCACTTTGCTCTCTTTTATTCTCATTTAATTATTCTTCCTGTATTGTAGCAATGAGAGAGATAAATGACAACTAGACAACTACCTTCTTTATTACTTTGGTAAAAACTGGAAATCGCTTTCTGAAACCAGCGAAAATAAGAACCTGGTATAAATGAGAAGAGATTAAGGTTTAATACTCATGACTTTGCTCTATAAATCAAATTCCTAGGTTCTCTTTGGAAAGGCAAAATCCAGGTACTGCCTCTGTGCCTTGAGTGGAGACAGCCTTGCAAAGAAAGTAAATCCAGAAATCTTCATAAGGTAGTATTATCCCATACATTAAAACTATTGATCAGTCTTAAAACTAATGAAGTCCTAAACTTGTATAAAAACAACCACATGTAGTATAATTCTGTACTGAAAATCCCTCACTTTAATAGCAACTCTGCTTATAGACAGCAATATGGCTCCTAAATTGTTGTAAATTGCCATTTCAAGTTGCTTCAAACCAACTTAATTTCCATATGATAACATAAATAAAAAAGAGAAGCTGAAGTCCCAAAAGTAATTGATTATGCTTTAGATGGGGTCTAGAAACACACTATTTTCAGTGAAGAAACCTTAGCTCGGCATTTTTTTCCCCATTTGTCTATCAGAGTTGAAATCAATCAATTGCTGGTGCTGCTGAAGCTTTCAGCATTATTTCTCGCACCTGCCTAAAAATGGGCTGAAGTCACTGTCTGATAAAAGACCAAAAATTTCAACATGGATTTTATTTGTACACTTTCTTCCCCTCCTTACTTATGTGCCCAGACTTCTGAAGAACCACAAAATTTAATATGGAAATGAAATCATCATTGCAAACAATGTATTTACCGTCTTCAGGGGTTCTCACAAAAACATCATTTTCTTCAGACAAAGAACTTTCTCCGATTGTTGTAGAGGCTGCCACTCTCATTTTATAATTTGTGTACTTTCTTAAACCTAAAAAGATTAAGTAAAAAGGTTTTGACTGTTTAGTTCTTAAACACGTTTTTTCCCTCATACCTACTCATAAAACTATGAAAACGGTTACTGTTCTTAGAGGGTTTGATGAACATTTGTCACCTAAAAGACAGAATATGTATAATACCATTTATTTGGGTAGATCCAAATAGACACTCAGTCAAATCAATAGATTTTTAAATAAGTGAACTGGCTTCAACCCTGTAAATAGCTTTAAGAATGTATTTGTCCAAACAAATGATGTGTATGTGTACAGCCAAATATATATTTTAATTCTATATGCATTACTGCAATTAGCATAAATAAATGTCTGAACCCTCATGAGGAAGGCATTTTCTTCAATTACTATAAAAATTATTACCTTAAATAAGAAAATTATTATTAGTATCAGGCAAATACTGTGGAAAAAAATCAAGACTGAAAAAGAATTGACAATTTAGAAACATCTTTTACGTGAAAAGAAGAGCCTGAAGAACAAATTCCAAGGAGAAATCCATTTCATCAAGTACTACTCAGTACATTTCACAGATTACTAATGCTCTTACCTAGTCCTCTCCTCGGATCACACATTCCCTATGTACCGCTCCACAGTAAACAAGTCTGACAATAGTGTCCCAATCTTGCTTTTACATGCAGTTACGGGGGGGTGTGTGTGTGTGTGTGGGTGTTTGTATGGGGGAGATTTGGTCCACCTACCTTGCAAACAGCTACAGTACATAAAGCTGGAAAAAAAATAACTTCATATAACATATTCGCAATATTCTTTTTATTCAAATGACACCCTACCTGTCATAAGTAAGCTGTTGTTTGAAGTTACTGTGTGAAATGTTCTTTTTGTATCCAGTTCCATTGCATAAACAGTATAATGAATAATTTTCCCATTAGGATTTGCTGGAGGATCCCAATATAGCAAAACAGAGGAAGAGCTAATATTCTTGTAAGATATATTTTGTACTGAGCTTGGAACTTAAATGAAAACAGAAAAATACAACAATAAGCAAATACATGATTAAAAAAAAAAAAAAAACCATAGAATGTTGAGTGAAAGAACTCATGTATGTTAACTTACATCAGAGTTCTAACACTTTACCTTGTTCACGTGTCCTGACTGTGAGAAATGATGGCGGCCCTTCCCCAACAGCAGTGAAAGCAGACACACTGATTGTGTAGTCTGTGAAAGGTACAAGGCCCTTTATAACATATGACAGTTCTTCGGCCAAAATGTTAATGGCATACTGACTACCTGTGATTAAATGGAGAGGAATAGTTACTTACTCAAAGTCTTTTTTTTTTTTTTCCTTTTGCATTCTAAACTCACTTTAACATGGTGACCTAGAACTCTTATTGCAATAGAATTAACTTCCATGACATTTACAAAAATATAAGGAAAAGTTTACACTCCATCTCTTAAAACAAAAGAGGCTATTTATAGTTCCACTTTCATGAATACAATGTTCTCTGCTTGTATAAGGTACAGAATTCAGACAGTAGGAATAATGGATAGATTGCTGTAGGTGAAATAATGGATGGGGGTGAACTAAACATGTGAAGGTGTATACTGATGGTTATGTCCAAAAAAATTTGAGATAAATCTCCTAGGGACTCAGAAAAGGCTTTTAGATGGCCCAGTTGCCCCACTGACTTCATAAACATGGCTCCTAGGATATTGGGGCTTTCAGGGTTGGTTTGTTTGTTTGTTTGTTATTTTAATTGAGAAAGACAGATTCCCTCTTCCTTGCCGTCCTAGCTGTGCTATAACAACTGTATTTGAAATGGCTCCCTTCATGAATCCCTTCACACTGGTATTTTTTAGCAGAGTTGTGGTCACCAGAATGAAGATGACACCCATATGCCCACAAAGGCTTTCTGGTGCATCTGCAGTAAAGTTCAGAATCAGCATCAACCCAACTGTGCTAGTCAAAATCACCTGTTATAAAGCTGCCATTATGCTAATGCAACATAATAAAGTGTAAGTGCTTCACATAACTGAGTATCAGGCTCAGAGTTTTCCAAGACCAGCATTAAAATGGAGGCATGTAAAAACCAGCAGCTCCTGTTGAAAGTTTGGCTGTCAATAGCTTTAGCTACTAAAACAACTACTATAAAATACTAATCAAGTGCTAGATTACGACACGATCTGAAATTTTTCAGCACACAGACTTCTTTTAGAAACTTAATACCTCAAGCTGAACAAGGCAGTAAAAAGAAGATACACATTTAAAGCACCGTACACTTCTCTTTATGACAAAGCAGATTCTTCAGGATTAATATAATACAGAAAAGATCCACTGTAATTTAAACTAATGAATTAAATTCTGGTCTTAGATACTGATGTATATGAAGGAATTTAGTGACTTTAATTAAAAATAAATTAAAAAAAAACCCCAAACTTGACTTTCTGCCTACTGTTCAAAATGCTAAAAATTTAGAGTGGTATTTTAAGTCCCTGCCTGTCAACTGAAGCCTGCTTAATGGTTTGTAAATATCCATACTTGGTAAAGAAACACTGGTCCATTGATAATACAGAACAAGTGTACACACTAATGACATCAGCATGTCATGGGGTCATCTCCACCTGTTTGTCACCCATATAGCAAATTTGTAACTTTCTGACCTATTTACCTTCACTGACATTTGAAAACCTATTAGTCAAAAGGCTTAGAAAAATCAAGGTCTCTGAAGGGCTTGGAGATATGTTAATCCCTGACAATCACACCTGCTTTGGCAACTGTAATAACTGATTGTCTATGCAGCTTGCTGATGGCTTTCGGGTGCTCCTTTCACTAGGAAGAAGGTCAGCTGGGTGACAAGGGGCTAGTTCCTGCCTGTGTGGCATTCCCATTTGCTACAGAAGGTTATTTGCTAGTAAAAAAATCTGACTCCAGCAAATGACCCATTCATAATTTGCTTGAACCATGTGCTAAAGATCATATCTGGTACAGTGATGAGGGTCTTTCAGAACAAAGGAGCAGGTAGAAAAATATTCTGAAATATCTTACCCAAAGCAGAACGTGGTTCTGCAGCTCCATTTATTGCAAGGAAATTATCACCAGATACACTTGTGAATATTACTGGGGAAGCCATCTGAATGCTGGAAAACATTTCAGCTGAACCTTCATATAATTCATTGGTTGTTTCCATTGAATTCCAAGTGGGAGAAGGTTTGATGTTTTCACTTATCATGTAGGGTTCCAAAGAATCAATCAAATACTAAAAATCAGAAATGCAAAAATAAATCACAAACCTCATCATCACTAAATTATTTCACTAAATTTATATATAGTGTTTGTATATTTGTGCATATATACACACACTATGTAAATGTTGCCCTACAAACATTATCTTTCACGACAACAAGAATTAAATCTGCAAAAAACAATATTTCTCATGAAAAAGCTCAGCTGCTAGTAGCCTACAACCTTTTATGCATTTTTATTGTTTAAAAAAATCATCATGGTTGGGGTTTTTTTTTTTTCCAATTGTTAAAAATATGGGTTTAATAGTAAAGTGTCATTTTTAGAGCAAGACCTTTAACTTTCATGTTATATACTTGGAGTTATGTTGAGTAGAAACATGTTTAGTACAAATGGAATCTCCCAAGTTCAAACATTTTCTGCAACAGGCTTGCAGGCACTAAAAGCAGTAGGGCTTCAGGTGCCCCTACTGCCTGAAGAAAAGGAATAACAGGTTGACTAGATTGCTGAGAGGAAACAAGGGGAGAGGAAGCAAAGCCAGAAGCTAATGAAATAAATGGGAGAGGGAAAATTAGGGAGTATATGTGTGAGAAGGGAGAGTGAAAGGTAGGTAAGTGATGTAGAGGTCCATAGGACAGAAGGGGCAAAAGCCAAATGTTGGAAAGGGACAGCAGTAGATATAAGGGGAGCAAGAACTACAAAGAGAACAACAAAAGCAGAAGGTAAGAGAGAGGCTAGACCATAGGCACAAAATGGTGTGTAAGCACTAGATCATTATGCCCCTTCAGAATCTGGGACTGTATCCAGGACTCCAGTGTCTCTAAATTGTTCTGCTGTCATCTGTGAACACTCCCCACTCACACATATGGCCCACTTCACTGCCAGGAAGACATGCTTCTACAGTGATGTAACTAATACACATTAGCTGTCTCCCTACAGACCCTGGGCGGAGAGAGGGCAAAGCAGCTTTTTTACTGCTGTAACTAGGGAGGATTAGCCACAGGCAGAGATACAACATCAATCTCACCTAAGTACCAAGAGGTAAAAGATATGTATGCCTCATCTTCACCAACATGTTATAGCAAAATAGTAACCCATGTGGAAGTACTTTTTGCTTCTGAGGCTTTTCCACTTGTAACAGCCTTTTGTAACTACCAGTCATTGAGTATCGTTAGCAGCGTGGACCCAACAGTTCAAATCCTGTAGATGCTCTAAGCTTGGGTCAGTGAAGTTCTAAATAAGGTTTTTATTATTTGTTTTGGGTTTTTAATTAGAAAATTACATTCAATAAAGTAGTAATGATGCTAAATTAAGAACTCAAAAATTAGGAAATCCCATCATTGAAACATGTCTGTGCGGACAATTTTCATTTTTTTTCTGTATCTGTACTATGATACAATCTTTAATTAGAGTTACATACTTTCATTTTCCAAGGACGCCTTCTTGTTTTAATGAATGGATCCTTATCCTCATTTCCCCCCCACCCCTTATTCCTTATTTAATGTTTGGCTCCAGGGCTTTATTTAATGTGTATCATTCAACTTGAAAGCAAAAGCCTTCACTGAGCTCTACATCAAAAACTTAAGTTCTATGTCAGAGCCAGATAAAGACGTCATTGTCTAAAGAAAGGAATTGTTCAAACTTTGGACTCCTATGTTCAAAATTAAGACCAAAAATTCCTACCTCAGAAAGCACTCAGTCCTAAGGTGAACCTTTACTAGGGGTCTACACTTCTGTGCTGTATGCCCAGAGTTGCCCCGCCTAAGCATGAAGAAAGGAATTGTTCAAACTTTGGACTCCTATGTTCAAAATTAAGACCAAAAATTCCTACCTCAGAAAGCACTCAGTCCTAAGGTGAACCTTTACTAGGGGTCTACACTTCTATGCTGTATGCATAGTCGCCCCGTCTAAGCATGTAGCCTTGGGAGAGTTACATTAAATTTACTTCTCCATAGGATTCACACCCACATCTTCCAGGAGTTTGCCTGAGTGGCTCTGTCTCAGTCTAGGCACTTAAATCTGTATCCTGACTGTTAGGTCACCCTATGCTGCAAAGAACTCAAGGGCTAGAAATTACAACACCTGGGGCTATGACTTCTTCCCTTCAGTAGCTAAGTCAGTCTGGATCATTCTGCCAGAATTATCTATTGTGGAAACAGCATTTTTGCAATGTCTTTAAAGGAAGAAAGAGGGTGGGGTGAGGAAAGTGGCTTTTAAAAGCACTGACAACTCATCTATGGTGGCTAATTCCACATGTTGTGCCTATCAGGTAAGGCAGAGAAAGAAATTTAATCTAGCAAAGAAATCCATATTAAAAAACCTGCATACCTTATTTTTTCCTTTGAGAATAGTGTTTTCAAGAGTCACCTCTGTTTCCTGCACATGTACTTTAACTCTGTACTGGGTAATGATTCCATTTGGCTGTCGTGGCTTCCTCCAAACAATTTTTATGTACGTGGCTTCCACTTCTCCTAGATGTAAATCTGATACAGCACCTGGGACTAAATATTCAAGAAGAAACTTAATTTAATTAAACACCTTTGAATATTATAAGATTTTTCAGCACTTTGTGAATTTAATCAAATTTTATATCCTTATTTTTTGAGTTGCTCCTGTGGAGGTAGAAATTTACTTTGTGTGGGTTTTTTTAGCAAACAAGTAACAGATCTAAAAATATGCACACAGGTTTTTTTGGCATATATGACATACGTATGAGTATGGTCAGATCCTAAGTTGATGTAAATCAGGACAGCTCCACTGAAGCCAGTGAACTGGAAGCAAGCAGACCTTTGCTAGCTATGTGGAACACCAAGTATATTGAAAATGAAAGCTTAATCCTAAATTAAGGATTAACAAACAAACAAAAAAACCCAAACCAAACCAAAAAAACCCAAAACCAAACAAACCAATGAGTGTGATACACCTTGTTCATCTCAATTTTACAGCAGGGTTTGGTTCAATTTCTCCTTTAACTATGCAGTAATAATGTTACTGTAGTTTACAGAGGATTACTGGAGATGAGAAACATCTATATTCAATAGAATGATACTCAGATTTGATACGAAAAATATTTTTTTCCTAATACACCACAGAAAAAGACAAACTTGAAATTACTTGCATAATGAAGGTTTGTAGATTTGGCATTAAAATGAGACATTCTATGTCACCCTAAAAAAAAAAAAAAAAAAAAAATTAACACCAAAACCCCATTGCCTTCTGAGAGGGAGTTCAGACAGAAGACAGGCATGGCTGTACTGAAGCAGGCCATCTCTGGAAATTGTCTCTGTTTACTGCCAAAAGTGATACTCAGATACTCAAGGAAAGAATACAACAAATAAGGATAGGTGTTCCTCCTGTTGTTACACCTCCACAGCAAACATTGCAGCAATCACTGATTGAGATTTTTTTTTTTTTAATTTGTGCTGTTGGCACAAATGCAGCTCAAAAATAACCATCTTGAAACCACCTGCCTACTGCACACTGATGCTCAATTTTTTCTGTTCGCATCCTCTGATCAAATGATCCTGCATAATCCCACAGGCACGTAAGATAAAACTGTATTTCTACTGAGCTCAGGACTCACCTGGCGAGCGAACTACTGGGAGCAGAACTCCCAAAGGACAGAGTAGATGGCCAAGGGGCAGAACCAACCCCTTGACTGCCCCGGGGCTGGATCCCGATATCGGGTCTGCCTCAGAGCCACGGTCCCTGGTAAAGGTGGCTCCCTTAGAAATGAGCACAGGACCTTGGATTTGGAGAGAATTAGTCAAACGAGACCTTCAATAGGAAACATTTGGGGCTGACCAGACCATGCGGGAGTGGGGGGCGGTGTGAACCCTCCGCTGTTCTTTCTCTTCCACTTGCTGCCATCTAACGGGTAAACCGGGAGCCTGCAACCTAATTGCCATGTCAAAAACTAACTGCTTCCAGTCGGGCAGCGACTGCGTTTCTTGCACGACCTCTGAAGGCTTCTGAGAGCAAGTAAATTTAGTGACAGTGTACGAACTCGAAAGAAATGGAGAAATAAAACTACACAATAAATTTTAATCCAATTTCTTTTGTTAGCTTGTTATCCCCCTCTTGTAAGACTCTTACAACACACCCATTCTTTCTTTTGCAAAGTACCTAAAAAGGCTTTGAAAGGAAAACTAGAAGCAGTTATCAAGTACAGCCCATTTACTTCACTTCTTTGTGCTTACTTACCGTCTGCAGGAGTGAAAACGGTAAGGTTCGTCTTTGGCCCCACCCCAGCACTTGTCTCAGCAGCCACATACACGTCGTATGTTGTAAACGGCACAAGGTTACTAAACACAAATTTGTGATCTTTTGTGCTGTTATCCAGAATATGACCTGGAATAAAAAATTAAGGGATTCTCTCTCAAAAATAAAACCAGTCCATTATTTGTTGATACTAAGTATAGCTACTTTCCAGGGTGAGGAACAACGACAACACAAATTTATTTGTGAAAAAGCTAGTTTGGCATCAACCTCATTGGGAATAACACTGAACCCGTGAAAAAACGTCCCCCAAAACCCTCTCGAGAAGATATGAGTTTTAAGAAGTGGGGATTTTTTGTTTATAAATTAATTTGTATTGCTTTTCCTGTCTGGTCCCCTAAAACCAGCATACTGCTCATTAACTTCTTAATCACAGGCAGTTATAGAATTTCTTTATATACACATCTGAGTTTAAAAAATTACCAAAACCATCAAAACAGACTCATACAGTTGACTGTATACTACACATGAATGAAAATCCTCCAAAAATCTTTAACAGAAAGAGAAAAGAGTAAAGGTAAGATACAGAAAGATTTGGATATATAAACACTCCAATTCAGCTGCAAGATTAGCTTGTCATCTCCATAAAAGAGCGAGGAAACTTAGTTTCCTCTACTGTTCAGAATATGTAATGTGAATTTCATTACATCCTCTTCCTCATGATGGACAGACTGTTGCCTTTAAAACAATCTAAAATCTATTAAAAAGTCTAATAATAAAACCGATACATAGCACTGATCTCAGTATTCATTCTTGATTGACAGGGACACTAAGAATGCAAGTCTAAGGAAATATTCACAGAACAGAAAAGGAAATAAAAGCCTCAGTTCAGACTTACCAGATGGTCCATACAGCTCAACTCTGTAACTAAACTTTCCTGTTACTATGGTTGGTGGGTCCCACATCACTGAGAAAGACTTTGCTGTAATGTTGCTTGTGGCAAAATTTTGTGGTGGATCTTCTGGAACTTAAATATTGGAAACAGTCTTGAATGTGAAATAATTTACATTAGGATTCCCAAGCACCACGTATCAGACAATTCCTTTTAAACATAAACATTAAATATTCTGAAGAGAAGCTACATTAAAAGCACATCTCATTAAAATGACTTATTTTTATTTCATTTATTTTTTAGGGTAATGCTCACAAAAGGCATCAAGAGAGCTGGTAATATGCAAATAATCTTTAAGAGACAAAGATGTCAGGGATTCTACCAAGTTTAGCATGAACTTCATCATGATATAGTTTACATACAGAAGATGCTCAAATTCAGTTGTGATGCTCAGCAATACTGAGCTCACATTGGCTATGTTTCTCATCTTTGAACAGGTTCTTTTTTCATATACAGAACATACTGAAAATTTCTGACAGCACTGATTATATACATTACTATCCAAAAAGATAAACCTGGAAACAATTAAGCTTGCAAAAACATTGCGTACTTGAGTAACTTTCTATTTTCATGAAACTATTCATATAATTTAAATGAATCCCATACTAAGTCATCATGGAACCCAATCATTGTCCTTTCTAAAGTATATCTTCCTGTATTGATAAGTTAATAAGAGATGACTACTGAAAAGCAAATCTGAATTCAAAGACAACTAAAGAAGGTAGAATCCAAGTGTGAATCCAAAGACAACTAAGGGAGTTGGAATTTTTTACATTCATATAAAGAAAAAAACCCGACTTAATTTTCAAAAATGCTCCATATCCAAGCAAACCTATGGAAACCACTTGATATAAATTTCTACAAAATTCAGGTCTTAATATGTCATATATGAGACATAAACCAATACAAAGATATAGACTAATTGTGCAAACAAATATACAAGTTAACTAACATACTACTCTTAAAAAGTACTATCATCTTTTGCAAAAACTAATGTACAAATGAAAGAAATGAAAAATCTTGTCATTCCTAAAAATACGCTATAGATTGGTCAGCAGTAGCTACATATTCATTCTTGGTTACGCAAACAGCTACAATTGCACATAATTATGAAGTATCGTCTTTAGAGTCCACTTTTATTTCAGGGTTTAAAACTTTTTCTCTTTGTAGAAGTATCCTTTCCTTGACAACCATCCCAGCAAAGGAAATATTTGCATGCTGGGTTTTAAAAAATATATTTATAATGAAGCATGTTAAAATGCTTTAAAGAAGTAAACTCTTTTTTAAAAATCAAAGAAAGGTAAACACCATCTTTCTCAAGAACACCAGAGAGCTTCAGCATGGCTCAGAAAATTCTGGTTGGAGTAGCAGAAATCATTTTCAACATTTTAGAATGGTATGCCAATGAACTATACAGTACAGACATACATCACCTTCCTCTGTATGGTGAAATGGGCAAGAAAACTCCATGTCATGCTCCCATGTGAGTAGGAAAGTGATATTTGAAATAAATGTGCTCTCCATCCTCCCAGCAGCTCTCACAAACTATAATCTACCTATTCCCTCATCTAATCTCAGACACTCCAACGGAGGACAGAAATATAAGGTTTTGTCCACAGGACAAACTGGTAACTCAGAGGGGGTGACTATTATGACACTAAAGAGATTCTTGTAAGAACAAAGACATTTGGAAAAGGTAAGTGGATTTCAGTAACTGCAGAGTGACTGGATGATGGTACTTGATGGTACTGGAGGGTGGACCTGTAACTATAATTGCAAAGCCACTGTCCTAAATCACAATTTTACTATATAGGCTATATAGATAAATACAAACTTTAGCATGTAAAAACCGAAGCAAATAAAAGCTAAGAAAGTAAAAATAATGAGGCAAAATGTTTATTAACTCATAATGCTTTCCTAACAAATTACCGACCAACTCTATGTCCAGACTTGGCATGCAAGCATGCAGGACTCACAGGGGAGCACGTTAACAAGCACCCGAATGCTCAAAATGTAAAGATGTAACAGAAGTGGATCCAGAAGCTTGGGTTGGCCAGTGTGCTGCCAGGAGGAAGGCTTTGATGAGGCTTGGGCCATGAGGGACAACTGTGGGGGTGCTCTGGGGAAACCAAACCCACACTGACCAGTAAGACAACTTTCTTTTTCCCAAACCTTGCTCTAATGGATGAACTCTGGCTGTACAGGCAGCCAGTAGGCAAGGACTGAAGTTCTTAACATAGAATCATACAATCATGGAATGGTTTGGGTTGGAAGGGACCTTAAAGACCATCTAGTTCCAACCCCCCTGCCATGGACAGGGACACCTTGCACTAGACCAGGTTGCTCAAAGCCTTGTCCAGCCTGGCCTTGAACACTTCTTTAAAACATTTCTTTTTATCTTTAAAACAGCTGACATATATGTGCTTGGTAGAATTAAAATCCATTGCATAAGCTTTTCATCACTTTCCGGAGTTTTCTTATTACTAGTGCACATATCCTTGAATGTTAACAGGGTGAAAAATGACCAGTAAAGTAGTTATAAGATCGTCAGAACAGAAATTTCATTATCCAAAACATCATTAACCCTAGACAGAAAAGCAAACTAAAGATATTTTAATTCTAGCAAAGCAATTCAAATGAACAGTGACTGAAAGGAATTAAATTTCTTTGTATCTCAACAGTGCTACAATTTCTGGATGCATGAAAGGGGAACAGAGTAACATCAAACTGTCTGAGGCAAAAGAATGACGTACTAGCAAACAGAAAGCCAGAAAAAAAACTTTCCTCTAGAACACCTTTTTGGTATGGCACTATTAATAATGTGCTACCTGAGCCGTCATAAAACTGCAGCTCCTGGACAACCTTTGTTTCCAGTTCTAATTGGAATTCCAATTCTCAGTGCATTGCAGGTAATCCAAAATAAACTTTCCTAATATTTAAAGATTTCATAGAAACATAGAATGGTTTGGGTTGGAAGTTACCTTGAAGATCATCTAGTTCCAATCCCAATGCTATCTAGGATCCATTAGACCAGGCTGCTCAAAGCCTCATCCATCACTTCCAGGGATGGGGCATCCACAACTTCTCTGGGCAACCTGTTCCAGTGCCTCATCATCCTTTCCATGAAGAATTTCTTCCTGATGTCCAATCTAAAAGTACCCACTTTCAATTAAAACCAGCTATCCTTTGTCCTGTCACTACAGGCCCTTGTAAAAAGTACCCCTCGCTCAGCTTTCTTGTCGGCCCCTTCAGGTACTGGAAGGCTGTAATAAGGTCTCCCTGGAGCTTTCTCTTCTCCGGGCTGAACAAGCCCAGTTCTTGCAGCCTTTCATCACAGGAGAGGTGCTCCAACCCTCTGATCATCTTCGTGGCCTCCTCTGGACTCGTTCCAACCAGTCAATATCCTTCTTACTTTTAGGGCTCCACAGCTGGATACAGTACTCCAGGTGGGGTCTCACCAGAGCAGAGTATAGGGAGAGAATCCCTTCCCTCGACCTGCTGGCCACACTGCTCTGGATACAGCCCAGGATATGGTTGGCTTTCTGGGCTGCCAGCGCACACTGCTGGCTCATGTTCAGCTTTTCATCCACCAGCACCCCAAAGTCCTTCTCCTCAGGGCTGCTCTCTTCTCCACCCAGCCTGTACTCGTGCTTGGGATTGCCCTGATCCATCTATAGGACCTTGCACTTGGCCTTGTTGAACTCCATGAGGTTGGCAGTGGCCCACCTCTCCAGCCTGTCAAGGTCCCTCTGGATGGCATCCCTTCCCTCCAGCGTGTAGACCACACCACACAGCTTGGTGTCATCAGCAAACTTGCTGAGGGTGTACTCAATCCGTTTCCTCAGTACTGAACAGCTTTCTGCAATAGGTCCAGATTGAGGAACCATGGGACAGAAGTTCTCTTCATACGGCTTATTTTTCCACAAAGGCTAAAACTTTAAGTGCATTGCTATATACACAATACACACACTTTTTTAACGTCATGCCTGACACTTTTTTTTTTTATCTGTATTTTTAATTCTCCTTCGATTGTGCCATTTATTGCAGTTTTTAAGTTCTCCTCAGTTTTACATAGAATTTGATCTGTCCTGAGCATATGCTGGTATCTTTGACTTTTAATAATAACTGAAATCCCACTCACTATACATTATGAGATACATTAATAGTGATATACACTTTCGGTTCACTCCATCAGGTAAAATTAAGTAAACATGTAAATACAAGAGCATGATTAGATAAAGATAGGTTTAGATTCAAGTATCTTGCAATGTAAGTTCAAACTTATATTTTGAAGTTTTCATACCAATATGAGAACTTTACTTCCCTTTGAAAGCAGTATATACCTGATTCTGGTGTCCGGACAATTGCACTGTCTATGTAACCTGCTTCAGTGGTAACTGCTGAGACTTCAAAAAGGTAGGTGGTATACGGCCTGAGGTTAGTTATAACAAAACTAATTGGTTCATTCCAAACAGAGCTCATTTGACTCAGTGCCTCAGTACTTGATGTAACTGTAGTCCGTGAAGGAACTGTAGATTTGCCAAAAGTAGTTGAAGGAGTGGTGGTACTCCACAAAAATGATTCACTGTTATCCTATAAAGACAAAATATGAAACATGATAAGCTGTATTTATAACCTGCAATTGCAAAAATATGTACATCAAAAAAAGAAGAGCACCTTCGAAATAAAATCACCCAAAATTGGTTCTCCTTTTTGTACTTCAATCTCCAAATTTAGGTTATCACTTCATTAGCTGACATTGCTAATATGTCCTGTTGGTGACAGTACTATAGTTTCCTGCCTTATCCCCAGTTCTCCAATCTGAACTGAAGCAACTCTCTAGGATTCATTTCATTATTCCTAGATTTTATTTTCAGCGTGCAGTCTCTCTCTTAAAAACAACAAAAACCAACCAACCAACCAAAAAAAACCCAAAACACAAAGTCCCCTAGTAAGGTTTTCCTACATCACATGTATGTTGTACATATGTAGATGGGTAGCATACATACAGCTATATATAAGGGACAAGACCAAACAGGGATTTCCTAATCCATACTGTCAGGAGACAGCTCTGAAAATCTGCTAGACATTACAATAATCAATGCTTATGATTCAGTAGGTGGCACTCTCTCTTCTCAGTGCTGAATTAAATCAGCCTAATGCTGGGAAACGTCACAATGTCCGAGATGATCTTCCAAATAAAATGTGAAGCCAAAGTCCTTATAACTTTTATAATTTTAAACTGCATTTTTTATTAAAATCCTAAGCCTAACATCCTGAAGAGGGGGGGTTTTTTGGGGGGAGGGGGAAAGAAGGTAGGGTAGAAAAAAAAAGGAAAAAAGTTAGGCATCTTGACATCTGAGCAATCACAACACTCTGCTCAGAATAAAGAGGAAAAAAGAGAATAAATATTGGAAATGAGAATTTTCTTCAAGAAATTCTGAAAGGTATACATTGGTTACAGGTCTGGATCCAATGAATAGTCAAAATTCAGAATCTTTTCAATGAATGCTTATTTTAAGAACAACTCAGACTACAAATTATTTTTTAAAAAAATCACTGTTAATAGTGGGTCTTTTTATTTTGATGTGAAAAGTATTTAAACAATGTTAAATGTGATACACATAATAAAGCACACATTTAAAATATAAATAGCATTATCATACTATATATAAAAATAAAAGTAAGATATTAACATTACACTGTCTGCACTGATAAATAATTCTTGCCTTTTGTACCTTAATAAACAACTAAAATAGAAAAAGAAAGTTGAAAAAAATTCACAATTATCTATTTAATCATTTTTGGTTAAAAGGCCACCAAATTGATCTTTTCTTAACATTTTTATTTTGATTAAACTGATCATTTCAAGGAAAAGTATTTTAATTAAACTACTTTGGACAGAAAGGGTTTTCTTCAACCATTACATCCTGCCTTGGGCCTAAGTTTGTAAAATATAAGGGATTGTTCTGAAAAGCAAGCCTCCAAATTTTTTGTCTCAAAATTCAAATGTGAAACTATATTCCGTGGCTGGAGTCTATTTCTAATTTAAAAGATTTATAGCACTTACATTACATTCTGGTAACCTCCCAGACAGAAGGTCCTCTACTTTAACCAAGACATCTTTCACTACAATTCCACTTCTTGCATGTTTCACACTAATCTTGAAACTAGTTATCTTTCCATTTGGTTGCCGAGGAAGAAACCATATCAGATTTACAGCTGAATAATTTAAGGCTTCAACTGTGAGATTCACTACTTTACCTGGAGCTTGAAAACAAAACAAAACAAAAAAAAGCAGTGAGACATACTTTTCTTCTCAGCACTAGAAAAAAAAAAAATCCCATTTTTTTGTAATTCCAAATCCTGAAGCAAATAAATAACCACCATCCACAAACACATGTAAAGTAGCAGATATACAACCAGTTCTTTTCCAATCCAGTTTAAATGAGAAATATAATTATTTCAGTCTCAAATCAATATAGACATTTGTTTGGTCAACTTAAAAATATACTTCCCAGAAGCAACTCATCTACTGTGTCAGAAATAGCAAATTTTTTCCCAATTTTGTTTGTTTAAGAGCATATGGCAGTACTGGGTGTTTTATTTCCTTCACCTGCATCAACAGGTGATAGGAAACATCATTTCAGCTGGATATAGATTTTTTTGTAGCTTTAAATAGCTCAATTTAATTTTAATATTCCCTATTAGTACAGACATATTTGTAACAGCCATAGTTTCCACGTCCGTTTGTCAGAGCACCTGTATCAATCACAGCACAAAGGAACGAGATGCAGCATCTGTATGAGATTTTACAAGCTATACAAATTTCCCTGAGAATTAGAGCACTGTAGACACTTAGCCCTGTCTGCATGTCATGGGAAGTAAAAGTTCAGGCCATAGGTAGCCTTAGTATTAAGGAGAAAAGTGTTATGCTGCCTTAAAAGTATACACATATACAAGTGTCCACAGTTACAGAACTTCTATAGCTGAAGTGAGACAGATCCTCTAAGACACATATTCAGCTCTTGCTTAGGCCCAGCTGAATATTTTGCAGATCTTTCAATCCCTTACCCTTCCTCTCAGACTAGAGCCTTTATATTTAAATAATTTTATTTTCTAACTTTCCCATTTTAAATGGTAACTCTTCATGTTGATCAAGATGTTGGGCTTTCTTTAATCATCAAGGCAAGAGGTTAAAAAAAAAAGTTGAGAAGGTAAAAGCATAAAGTGACACAAAACTCTCACCTAGGATTTGAAGAAACCTTCCAATTACATTTATAATAAGGGATCTTATCTTTAATAAAATGTAAGCAGAAATGCATCAAAAAGTAAAAAACTAATGTTCTCATACGGAAAACCACTGATGCCTCTGTCAAACATCAGTAAATAAAGCCCACTGAAATAAGGTTTTCTACCAACACTAATACACAAAGAATAATTAAAACCAATGGTTTTGCATAGCTCCACATGGCAAGTTTACTACCCCTTCTCATATTTCGTTTCATAACTCACTGCATTATCAGAAATCTGAAGCAGAGTGATGATTTCCTGCCATTAACCGAGATGTGGCGCTTCGTGGTTTGCACAGCTACAGAAACCAGCTAGGAGTCCTAAACACAGAGGGGTGGTCACTGCCACAGCAGCACAAAGACTTTTTCCATGAAGACTTGTTCACCCCAACTTAACTGGCCTAGTGCCAGCTCTTCAGCCAAGGCTCAACTGCTCCAAGTCAGCAAGACCACGAACACTAAATTAGTGAAGAATATGCAAATTCAGACTGTAATTGAAATTTTTAAATCCTCAAAAACATAATCAAATTTTTATTTCAGCCATGGTGGGGTTTTTTCTTATTTTTTTTGTCTTCAGAATTAAGAAGTAAAAACTTAGCAATATACATTCTGTGCTGGGCCTCGTAGAGAAGGCATTTGACTTCTGCACTAAACAAATATGTCTTGACATAGGCAATGCCAGAGCTCATCCCACAGCAAAATCTGTTTCCTAGTACTGCTGCAACGGTAGATGGGTCGACTTGATAGGTAGCTCTGCTCTCCTGAGACCTTGCTTTCTGGAAGCAGCCTACCTAGATACTGGCATAGGAAAACCACAACAGAAACAGACTTTTCATATAAAGAAACCCCTATATGTGCACACCCTAAATGCTGCTACTAGCAACTAGGACAACATGCATCTTTTCCACTGAGTGAGAGAATAAGAAAAGAATTAGGATTTTGTTCTAAATGCATCAGAATTTATTCATATGAAACGTGCCACAGATACTTGAACAAATTAGAACAGCTTTAATTAAAATAATTAGCAGCTTTATTAAATTTACCACTTTCTGCAGTCTGAAAAAGGAAAGGATTGCTAAACACTCCAACACCAGCACTATTCTCAGCAGCAACCTACAGGAAAAAAAAAAGCCGCATTAGAGAATCTATAGGATATATTCAGGGACTATGAAAATCCTACATATACACAGAGATTCACCTTCCAGCTTTTAAACTACAGATACACAAGTGAACATGACTTTTATAGCTGTATTGTTTAATTTATACTCAACACTAAAATTCAAAAAAAATAGAAAGGTTATGAAAAAATGTAAGAAATTGAGAAAAGCACATGTGAATATCCACACTTCAATAGTGCTGAGTTCCTATTTTATGCTAAAGTCAACAGCAAGAATAACATCAGTAACACTCCTTTTCTTCACCACAATTTCACTTAAAACAGCTTCCCCATTTGTATTTTGGTCATACTATAACTTAAAGGAATAAAAAGGAAAACAGGTTCTCTTTTATTTCTTGAACTCCTGGAGGATAGCAAAAGCAGGTCAACCTCCCTCAGGGCAGAAACCCAAGGAAAGCATGTCTTTTAGCAGAAAGACAACATGTCAGGGAACCGTGCAGTTTATGGTGGATGTGTCTCAGTGCCCATGACCATAGCAGAGTCTTCCCGCAGAAGGGCAGTACGTTGAGACTTTGGTAGAGTTCATGGCTATTAACTCAACAATGCCATTTGCCCTGCAGTATAGGACTTTACAGCAGTTCAACTCAGTGACAGGCCATGGCAAGCAATACCAGAGGAAGGAAGTCTGACTCCTTACTTTGAAAAGTAGTGACAAAGACAATAAAATGTGAAATGCAAGCAAAATTCCACCAGTGATAGTCAGAGGTGTGTGAAAGAAGCAGCAAAGCAAAAAGCTTACCAGCAAGGAGAGCCATTCCCTCCCACCAGTGTCAGGCAACAAGGGTTTGGCAGTGGTGCCGAGGGAGCTGACAGTGCAGGCTGTGGGGAGAAGGGTCAAATGTGCAAAACTATGTGTGTCAGAGTACAGTACAGTGATGGGCAACACAGGGGATAACAAAGGGAATAACACAGAGAAGGAGCCAGCAAGTCAGAAAGAAAACCTGTCATCACTTCTCAGGGCTAAACTTCTGAAGACTGTAAAGCTACTGAAACAAAAGCACTAAGCCAAAGCAGACAAATTACAGCAAAGAAATATGAGGTAACATGGAAGGCTTAATCTAGGATGCAAAGGAATGCATATGACAGACCACTTCCCAGTGCAGTGCATGCTCTGCTTGGTGAAGAAGGACCTGTTTCACTTTCCAGCCCCTCCGTAAGCTGTACAAACACCCCTTCTCCATGCATGCACACACTATGACTCCAGCCAACCCTAACTGCTTCTGTGTCACAGAGAAAATGACTTGAAATGTCCTTAAGCATTGATGAATTCTACAGTAATTGCAATAGCTGAAGAAATAACCTGGAGATCTTCAGGGTATTGACAGGCAATCAGAAAATTCTGACAATATTAAAATTACATTATATAAATCTAAAGGTATGTCCTCACTGGAACATTATTTGTTATCTCATCTCAAAGCAGGTATTGTAGAAAGGGTCCAGAAAAGAAACCTAGCATTAACACAGGCATGGAAACCCCCATTTCATATGTGTAGTCTCAAGAGAACTCACTATGACATAAGTATGCACAAATTTGCATCGTAAAGCTGTCAGCTATACACACTGATTAGCTTTGAAGAGAAATCAAAATAAATGTTTGCACTATGTACAGCTAGCTCCAGAGATTCCTGCCACAAAGAGACATTATAGATAACAAGCTTAGGAACAATTAAAAAAGGACAAGTTTCCCATGCAGATAAAGTACTATCTGAAGATCTGATAGGTCTTTCCCAACCTTAGTGATTCTGTGATTCTGGGAAAGTTCAAGTAGCTGTGGTTCATATTTGGAAAGAGTATTAATTTTTATGCTTTGAAGTATAATGTTGCCACTAATTATTTAAGTTTAGAAAAAAATTTTGACTGCATATTTTTACAAAATTATCAATGATCGGGTGTCCAAAATTATCCACAGCTCTTCAACATTTAATAAATTACCACTTGTAAGTGCTATTTCTTTCTTTCTTTTTTTTTTTTTTTTCATTACACGTAAAGAAATTCAGACTGGAATGTTACAAGCAGATTGGGAACCCATATTCAAAGTTTACAAGCTTTGTTGAACTGTACTTTCACAGTATTTAGCAGAAAGAATTTAACAACGGGACCAAGCCAGGCACTCTAAAACATTAAAGAATTTTCACCTGTGCAAAAATGAAAAGCTATATTTAAATGACACAACAGACTTGAAAAATTAACCAAACAATCACAACAAACTGCTCAAGAGAAGGAAAACACATAATGTTTCTTTTTGGCCACATCTGTGAGATAGAAAAATGTTTCCACCTGAGTCATTACGGAATCCCTGAGGTTGCTTGTGGGTCAGGCAGTCAGCAAGCCCACCAAAGCAGTAGGTAACATAACAGCCCTGAGCTTGCCAACAGACTTTTATTCACTCATGAGAAAAGCCATGTGGCCGCTGCTAGACAGGAGGTTGTTGGGTCACAAGTCACTTTCCTGACTCAAATTCTGCTTTAAGATCTATGTTGCAGGCACCAGTAATGGGAAGGATTGCCTCCCATAAGTATCAACAGAAGGCAAAGTATTGCTAAGTAACACAAATTATTTAAAATGTCCCACAGTTTTCCCAGAGAAGATTCATGCATGGAGCAAAGAACGGAATTTGCAAAACCTTTAATAGTGAATCCCACACAAGTGACACTCAGGTACTCATAATTGCAAATTGAATTCTCTCAATAACTTAATTTGTCTCAGGAGACTAATCTGCTTAGAGCCTAAGTGATAATACTTTTCTCAAATAGTAGCTGAACATTTTTTATGTTGGGTTTTATTTTATTTTATTTTTAGTAGATGACTGCAGGCAAGAGATCAAAGGATAAAAGCCAGTATATCCACAGCTGCAGAAATGTTTATCAGCATGGTCATCACAACTAGATTCACAGTGAGCAACTTTCCCACAATGGCAGGCATAATTGCATTTTTACTTTATTACACACACCCCCATCATCCTCACAAAAAATCACTGCACAGCCTTATGCCTTGCCTGGTCAACTTCATATATCACAAAGCTATAAAAAAAAATTGAATTTACATGACATAGAATGAAGCAAATCAAACATAATTTCATTTCATTCTTGACACTGAAAAGAAGCCCCTCTCCAAAGTTCTTATGAAAAAGCAAATCAGGCAAAGAACTGCTTGGCAAATGTTGCCAGGAGGATATCAGTTAATTTCTGTCCACCTGATGTCATTTAATGTTGAAGAGCTCAGAGATAGATCAGGAGTGCCTAATTGCAATGTGGGCAAATTCCACATATAGAAATCATGGAAATGTATGCACTGATTTTGGTAGTAGATATTCACTGTGAGTGCCTAGGCAATAGGAATGAGTACCTAGGAAAGGAATGAAAAAGTGACATTTTTTACCTCAGGAGATAACACAGATAATATTCCCAGGCGTAAAGAAACTGGGATAAGGTATTTACAGGCTACATCTAAACAGATATTCAGGCAAGAAAACTCCTTCTTAAACTAATTAAGTTTAAATCAAAGAAAGAAGCAGGTACCTACATGCTTTTCTGGACCTGGCTGAGATGATTTAAAAATCTATGTGTAATACCCAAAGTGCACCAGTGATTTGAAAGATCAAATTTCAATGAAGACAAAGAAGGATTTAGATGTTTTTCAAAATTCTACCATTTGCTTTTTACTTTCTACCACATAATTCTGTATGTCATTAAAAATATAAATAGAAGAAATTATGTTTTAGTAGAATTTCAGTTGGAAATTATTTAAATTAAATTTAAAAAACACTACTGTGGTAGTAGCCACCACCTGCTAGTATGTTTTGTTATCTGGCAACAGTAATTAGTAAAGTCCTCCAGAAAACACTATATGCAAGTACCACAAACTCACACAATGGACAATAAATCAGAATTCAAAATACTAAAAGGCATTTGTAAAGCTTTTACCTTAATTTCGTAAGTTGTTCCAGGGTTAAGACTGGTAAGAAGCACTTCCAAACTATCTGGCTTTGTTGTGACCTGTGTATAAGCTGTTTGCATCCACGGGCAGACCTCTTTATATTTAACAATATAGGAGAGAATTCTTCCATTTGGATGCAGTGGTGTATTCCATGATAGCAGAATCCCAGCAGAGCCCACTCTTTCACCTGCAAGGAACACAGGCGGCCCTGGATCTTTAAAAAAAAAAAAAAATTAATTGTTTTATATTTATATACACACACAGAGACACACATACAAACCAGTTTTTAATTAAGTTTCCAGATAATGGAGAGAACTTCACAGTTCTGTTAAGAAAGTAAATCATCTGCCAGCATAAACCAGTAAAACTACTGAAATCTAGTGCACAGTTGAATAAAAAGCTTTTTTTTCTGGCTACAGTCCTGTTACAAAAATGATCAAATTAATTTTGGAACACCAGCAACATTCTTCTATAAGAATACAAAAATGTAATGCTCAAGATCTTCATGGACAAAACAGAGTTTAACGCCAATTTAACATTTGAGATATTCTAGCAGTCTTAATTTCAGTTCCTTTCCCCAAACCCGTTCAAAATCAAACTGCACTCTCTTATAAAACATGCCTGATATGGCTACATTTTTCTGAAATATCTCCAAAGTCTACCACTATAAATATAAATTGAGGTATGGGTATTACTACACAACAGCAAATTTTTTAAAGCTTATAAACTGTTCTCCTTTATGCATATTTCATTTGTTTGACTGTTGGTTTTGGGATTTGGTTGGGTTTTTTTTATTACCCAAGCTAATGGATGAATACAACTACAACTCATAGCCAGGGCTGCTTCTTAAAAATATCTCATAGAGAAACCCTCATGCTTTCACAGAACACCTCAGATTCATGTATTTTTTTATGATTAAAGAAGATGAAAGATTCTAATGACTGTTCAAAACTATTATCATTTCTCAGATACTAATGTAAATATAATAAATACAAAAAAGCATGGTTTCAAAGCAAACAAACAAACGTTTCCTCAGTCATTATTAACTCACTTGTCACATTTGTTGTCACTGTTCTACTTGCAGGTGAACTGTACAGTGAAGAAGAAACTGCAGAAACTGTAACATTGTATGTTGTTCCAGGAATAGTATTATAAAAATCAGCCTGAAATAGTACATAGATTTAGTTAAGTCTTTACCAAGAATCATGAAAATGAAAACAAACAAACAACAAAAGAAAACAAACACCAAAACCAACCAAACAAACATCCAAACCCCAACAGTTTAAGCATTGTATTACTGAAAGGGATCTGTTAATAAGCTTTTAGAAATACAACAGTAAAAGTAGTAGTTTACCTTAGCTACTGTAGAGTATTTTGCCATCTTATTTAACCACCCTCCACAAGAATTGTGTAACATTCAGTATTAAAGAACAACAAAATTAAGTATTAATTTTATCACAATCACCTATCAGTGTATCTATAGATTTTTTACTGTATCATCATTATCAAAGGACACATGAAACATTATAAAATGTCTTTTTGAAAGAATAAACACAAAAGCAACCTGAAAAACTTAGAATTTTCTGATGCTTAAACTAGCCCATCCTCTGAAATAAACACAATTAACAACTTTTTGCCAAGCAATCATATAAAATACCTGTGTCTTTGCAGTTCCAGTGAAAACTAAAAGTAACACAACCAGAAAAATCATTATTTCTGTTAATATTATTATATTTTGGAGCCAGCAGAATTAAAAAGTGCTCCTATTTCTTTTTGATGGCTTAGCAGTGAAATGTTGCCTGCATTAATGATTTAAGCACAGGTCTTCCTGGCAAGTTCACAATTAATGAGTCTGTATTACTCAATAGCTCTGCCCTTCCCTTGTTAAACTATTCATGAACCATTGGATGACCAGCTGTATCCTTCCAGCAGACTTAAAAAAAAAAGAAAGTGAATTCACTACATGTTGGTAAGTAACAAACTCTGGATGCTGAAATATGCTCTCACCAATTTATCATTAAAACTTTCATATTCATATTTGCATTAAGTAGCTAAGGAGGCAAACTTGTATTCCTAATCAACACAGTGAATAAAGAAAGTGCAAGTCCTGTAATAAAAGCACATACTTGATACCCCCTAACTCCAAGATCTAAGATAACAACAGAACCATGATCAGGAATAAGATCCACGTGAAATCTGTCTACATATCCATGCGGTAGTCTCCAGTGCAGTGAAAAGGAATATGATGAAACATTGAAGAATTTAAGTCCTTCTGGCTTTGCAGGTTCTGAAAGAGAATTGTGTAATAAAAGACATTAACTTAAATAACCCACTTTACAAATATGTTAGTAGTTACACCTGAATATAAAAGCATCCAAGAACAGTTTACTTGCCACATGAAGGATAATTGCTAATTAGCCTGTGTACGGCAGTATATTATACTATAGTTGTTATACTACCTCTGAGACTCAGTTGATAATCTCCAACCTATGGAGGTGCAGACATCCTCATTCGCAGAGAGCAAGCTCAGGTTGCTCTGCCTGGTGTTGAGTTTACAAAGAATCCCTGCAGAGTTCTGGTGTTTCTTAAAGCTAGCCCTACTACTGTCGTAACTAGTGCTACTGTTAAAATTCCAGATAGAGCTGGTGCTTGTTCTGTTGCTAGCCACAGTATAGTTAACTCTTTTATACTTTTCCTATATTTGGAATATCAGTAATGCCATGAAGTGTAGTGAGTTATGTCCCCCAAATTTGGATGTTCTACTGCTTTTATTAAAGACAAGTTTTCACCCTACCCCTGTCAAATCATCTCACTTTCTTCTGCCCTTAAACGCACCTTTAAATCTGAATCATCCACTCAAATCCTAATAATGAACCAGATCTTAGCTACTTCAATAGCTCATTAAAACATTACTTTTAATATTATAGAATTTATCCACCTGTGCAATCCATAGCCCTGTGCATCCCTCTCCTTCCTGCTTTAGAAAGCACGCACTGCTAACGCCTGTCTCTATTCATACCTCACAGAGCAAGTCCAGTCACTGACGCTATTTGTCATATCTGAGATTCGCCCTTGCACTCAGTCCTCTGAATCTCTTAATAACTTGGTTCTTCAGAATTCAAACTAAATCTTCTAGTAGTGTTTGTACACTAATATCATACTACGCAGTCTGAATATCATATCACTTCTATCCTGAAAGAGCCGCTCGTTCCTTATTTACTTAGATTTGCTTGGATTATATATCTGTCATGAACTCTTTACAATGAATATCCAAATTTGTAGAATTGTATTAAACAGATGTGGAGGTGTGCAAGTGTAACTGAGAGCATAATTTCTTCCCTTTAGTATACTTCTATAAATCTTAAGTCCTACTCGTAAGTACTATGTTCATGGATCTCTACTTCCTTTACAGCTGGATTTTATACTTACAGAGGTCTTTTTATACAGACCCATGATTAATGTCTGAGTGTACAGTTATCACAGTAATTAAATCATCTCTTTATCTCAGTTGAATCACTTCTGACTCAGCAATAGAAGAGAGCATAAAAATGTGCTCATGGAAAGAGAAATTCAGTCTCTCAGGAAGAGCTAACTCTCTTCCTACTATTACCTCAAGACTGAGAATTATCCTTCCACTGTCGCTGGATAAAAAGAAAAGCGCCTCAGTTCTACCCTTCTGCAGATTTAATCACATCAGCAGGGAATGTCTTGTGAGCATGGTTCACTCGAGCCTCATTGCACCTGCTCTTCTGTAGTCCTCCACTCTGCTTCATGCACTTCTTAGCAGCAGTGGTCAGCATATTTGTATAAAGTATATAGCCAGTATATTTGTGTAAAGCACAGCCAGAACAATTTGCAGTAAATTTCACAATTTAACCTACAAAAATACTACTTAGTATCTGCAATATGTATTCTGATTGAGTGGATTAAAAATCAGTTGAGTAGATAGATCAGTGAATATGGAGCAAAAAATACAACAACTTGTTAATTTTTCCAAAAATTAACCATTATAACGCAGCTGGCTCAGGATGACAATGTAATGACAATACATTTAAGTAAAAGGAAGCACAGTTAGGTCAACCAAACTGACTTAAATCTTTCCTGCATTAGAAAAAAATACTAATTTCAGTTAAAGAATTATAGCATTGCAGACCTAGTTTAAACTTCAAAAGACATACAAGATTTTTTCTTATTAATTTTACACTCAAGACATTTCCTCAAAAAAAAAAAAAAGAGCAAGGATTTTCACCCCTATATCACTATGTTAAAGGCTCTCTTTGACCTCTTATTTCAGCCCCTCTGACTAAGGCAGAAGCACCAACAGTTTGTCAAGCACTGATCCCAAAAGCAGGCATACAAATGTCATGACATTTGGTCAAAACAGTCAATCAATGACAACTTCCAACACTCCTCGGGCCTCTCTCACACCACCATGTCACTGCCACAAAAAACTCTATAAAAAGTAGTATAAGAATGTAGTAAGAGAAATTGGCTGAGGTGGTTCTGGTGCATCTTTCTTCTCTTTAAATTTCATCTGTATTTTATATTATTAAGTTATAGTAAACTGCAGACACGTGTCAAGATTGGTATTTTACCCCACTAAGTCTTAATCACATATCTAATAAGAAACAGTCCTTGAATGGAGTAGTTTACAGTCTAAAGCCTTAACTCCAGAAACATCTGTAAACCTGTTTAACTTCACTGAAATCAGATAGGGTAAAACTCAGCTCGTGCAAAACTCTTTGCAGGATAAAACCTGAAAAATAATGAAAATACTAAAAATGGTCAAAAGAAATGCCACACAGCTAAAGAAATTTTGTTTCTGGTAGAGTATCACTAGATGCAGTTTGAATAGGCTACAAGTAATTTGTCCACAACCACAGCAAATTTTATTGCATGCAAGATCTCTTGAAATTCCATTGTTATTCTGCAAAGTGAGGTGTACAAATCTAAATGTGCACTGTTATTGGACGCCACCACTCACTGGCAAGGAGAGAAAGTAAGCACCCATACAGACCTGTTACGATTTCAATGAAAGCAGAAGCTCCTTCAATATTTCCTCCTAGTCTCTGCAGCGTGAAATTATAAATGCCTCCAGCAGTCAGGCCTGTAACGCTGAAGTCAGTCAGTGCTCCTGGAATTCTGAACTTGTTTACAAAGGTGTTGTTTGATAAAGATGCTTTGTAAGAAGTGAAATTAGTCTTGGTTGGATTCCACGTTAAAGTTGCAGAAGAAGTATTTACCATTCTTAGTGCCAAACCACATATCCCAGCTGGTTCTGCAGTAAAGATTATTCTGATTAATAAAGAAAAAAAATAATGCATAGTCCTTAAATATAAGAAAAGTAACCTTCTTTTAAAAATAAATGGTTTTTATTTAAACAATTTGAAGTTTCACAGCATCATGACATCTTCATACAAATTTTAGAGGTATGTTTATACAGTAAACAGTGCCATTATGCTGCACAGGGTAAAACCTGGAGATGTACCTCCTGTGTGCACTATGTCATTAGGGAAGAAAATTCCAGACTTATCAGATGTTCTGTAAGAACAGTAATATTGCTCACTGCTGAAACAGAGGGAGAATGGAACACTTTGTAAACAGAAGTAGAAATTTTATTAAGTTTTCTAAAATACATCATAGAACATAGAATTTTAGAAAACTGTTCATCTGTTCACTTTAGGATACAGTAAATCCTATAGTCTCAGTGATTATCCCTTTTTTAAATATTCCTTTTGGCCATATTAAGATTCTTAAAATCACAGATAATTATTTACAAATAGCACCTCCACTAATCTGTGCAGCATGGCTGCAGTTAGAAAAGAAAATGTTTCCATTCCTTCTAAAAAAAAGAAGAATTTTCTAGATTATTGATTTATCCTGCTTGAAGTTAACTGCAAAAATACAAATCATCGTAATCCCATTAAGGGCTGGATTATTCAGCATGAAAAAATCCTAAAGGTTTGCCGTTACAATGATAAACTCTCCATAATCTAGCCATATACTGGACTCATCCACAATAGTATTGAAAATATTTGCTTGATGATGCTGATTATTTTGCTGCACTTTTCATTACAAGAATCTGCAGTACTAGATCTGGTTTTTTTTCAGAGATTCACTCATCTTTGAATAGCCAAGTGCACAGCCCCCTTGCCCATTAACTGGTTTAAGGAGTTATAGTCCAAAGAAATCACAGAAAATCCATCATTTAAGGAGTTATAGTCCAAAGAAACCACAGAAAATCCATCAAAGAAGGGAGGAGGTCTATGACATCCATGAGTATAAATCTGGGAGTGGATTTATTTTCTGATTACAATTAGCTGTTCTTTATCTGCTTTGGCAGTCCAGAATCAAATATAAATCTATTCCTTCAAATTTCTGCCACAAACAAACTCTCCTTTTTCTATGTTATATCACAGAAGCATTGGAAAACCCGTTTGCTCAGAGACAGAAAATGAGTGCAAGATACAGGTTAATTTTCTGGACCTTGTTAAGCCATCTGAAGCACAATTGCTCTTACACTTTTAAGCATTCTGTGGCCTTGTACAGGACCAATCCTCTAATCTTAGACCATGGGCTTGCAAGAATTTAAGAGATGCAGAAACAATCGTAAACAAAATGTAAGGTAATTATTAAAGTATAGGAAGCTATTCTGGCAAGACCTTATTCTGCTACAGCTGGAAGAATTTAGTGAGTCCACCCCTTTTTTTCAAACGAGTATCTGCAACTATGCCTACACTCCTCAGCATCAATGCAGCAAGTTACATACAAGGTTCCTGTTTAAACAACTATGACAAGAGGAAGCAGAACTTGCCTTCCCAGAGTTAGAGTTTCATTTTGAACTGTGACCCTTTTGAGACACTTCCATTCAATGATTTAAATGTCTCTGAACATCTACTGTGGGGTTTGTTTGTTTGGGTTTTTTTGTTTTGTTTTTTAAAAAGAAAGACATGTTATAAGGTATTTCCTTACTTGTGATGACTTTTTTCTCCACAGCAACAGAGGAATCCAAGCCTTTAACTGTCCTCAACTGAAAAAAGTATTCTGTCCCAGGGGCCAGATTTTTCACTACAGCTCTGCTGCCATAAACAGTTCTGGTAAGCAGCTTTTCATTATTCATCAGACAGTATGAAAGCTATGGAAGAAAAATATTTTCTTATATTAGACTCTTTCACTTCATAAAAGTAAAGTTCATAGATTCCAAATGCCTGTCTATGTAAAAACAGTCCCAAGGAATCATCCCCTCAACTCTGCTCACTGGTACACCTTGAAAACTCATTTGCTTAGAGCCACTGCAGAGAATAAAAGTGCTGGTGATACCAAGTAGTTGAAGTTTGGGCACTTAACTCCTAGAGGCTGTGAGGATTCCTTCTGGCCTCCCAGACAGTTCTAAGGCAAGAAAAAAAATTTCTGTGATAGTCCTTTTCTGTGGACACAGAAAACTGTTACTGCAGACTGTTTTATAGGTGCACTGGTAAAAGGTGAAAAAAGATGCTCACTGTGTCTGCCCTGCGAAGGAGGGCTCCAGACAAGCATCTCCAGCACACACAAGGGTTTCTCATGTGTGGCAGTTAGCACTAAGATAAGAGGCTTTGTAACTGTCTACATCCCTGTGTCCTGTCCTGCCACCCATTATTTCCTCCAACAGAAGAGGGATATTCTACATGATAGTGACCTTAAAGCACTCTGGTCCAGCTGTTATTCATTTGGGGAGGAATGATCCAATTCCCCTCTGTATATCTTACTAGCACGGTACCTGTTAATACACACTAAATGTTGGAGTGTGTCATCACCTTATTAGAATTACAGCACTGCAAAATGCTAGAAGCAAAGCTATAGATTAAAGATTTACATCTAGTACAAACAAGTTAGGAAAGTACCTATTGTGCACTCTTTGCTCTACAAACTACAATATATTGCATAGAAAGTTAGTGAGCTGGGATAATTAATTTTAAATGATTAGTAAAATGATCCCTTTTATGCAGGTGCACCTTACTAAGCAACCAGTCTACTGAAGCCTTTCTCATGAAAGATTTAAAGATAAAGTCATTTATTCAGACAAAGCACTGTCTAATGTGGCTGCTTCCTCTATGAGATGCTGAACAATAATACTGTGCCATAAAGATCAATATTACAGATGACCATTACTTTCCACATGGTGGTAAAAATAACCTGACCACAGACAAAAGTATATGTGAATTGGTTCACAACATGAATGAGAAAATTGAATTTAATTTTAAAATTTGTAAAAATACTCCAGGCTAGTTCAGCAAATTGTGCTGTAGTAGGTTAACTAGCTACTCTTGTTCACTCCAATCAATGCAGCTTTACACTAATGAAGAGAGAAGAAATTATCAGGAAACTACACTAAGAATATTCACATTTCAAGTTTTAGGTAAGGCTATAATCAAAGTCATTGGGAAGGGGAAGGAAAATAATTTGACACTGTAATATTGGGGTAAAAAGTGTGTGAGATCATTAAAGCAAAGTACAGTGTCTCATGGTGATTTTACATACTAAAGAATATGCTAGTAAGTTAACCATAGAAGACTGTACCTTGAAATCTTTATTAATTCAAATGACATGTTTAAAGAACAGTTTACTAGCAAAGTTTTATTGACTGCATGACTATGTTCATACAGTGACTGCAAAATGCAAAGGATAATATAAGACAGACTGCAAAAGACAGGACACAAAGGAGAGACTGGTTGAATGTCGTAGTGAAATATGATCCACACAAAGTATTTAGATGTCATAGTAGGTTGTTTCTGACCGGAGAACTGAAAGCAGAAATAACTTCAGATTTTGTGCCAAGTGTTGCAAACAATAAGGTTCAAACTACTCGAGAGTCACTCTGTAATACTGACCATGAAATATTAGTACCCAGCTCCTTTGTAAGAATAAAAACAAAACTTCCAGGATAGCGAATTTAATTAGAAAATGAGAAATAATTAAAAAAGATCAAGCAAATTAAAAGAAAATCATGACAAGCATCCAAAAGTGTCATGGTATAAAAAACATAGAAATACAACTTCAATACATGATATATCACTCAAAGTTTGTAGAGGGAACGTAGAAATAGCAAAACCATTTGAAAAATAAAGAGGATTCTATTAAGAGAAGATAACCTTATAAACTGGATACCATATCAAAACAAGAAAAATAAAACCTCTAAACTTGTCTATTTCATGCAAGCTAACTTAAGCAGCACAGGGAAGCAGGGCACAATCATAATATTTTAAGATTTATTATGTAATATGAAATATATATTTAGCTGATCTTCTCCCATAGCAGTATTTCCCTTCCATACTTAGGTGGGTTAAAAAGATAAATACTTATCATTGGGTTTGCCATACATAAAGGATGATAATTTTATTGAGAAATTAAAAAAAAAAAGTAAAGAATTGCATTGGTCTGTTCCCATTCTTATCTCACCTGAAACATATCAAATCCTCCCCTTGGTAGTTTCCAAGAAAAATAGACTGTATTTTCTTCTTGCCCAAAGACCTGTAAATCTGACGGTGGATCAGGATCTGAGGACAGAAGTGGATGTAAAGTTCAATATCAAAATAATCTATATTAATTTGAAGGAAATTAATATCTACAGAAGACACTGTTGTAATTAATTATTTTATAGTTCAGTGCAGAAACAGATTTAATTTTGTACTTAAGAACATAAAATAAATTCACCTCTACATATCAGCAATAGATTCAGAAATAAAATCAATGTTTGTAAATTTTTATGGAAAATTATCATCCTAATATTACTGCTAATTCCTTTACTAGCAGAATCTTATTAATTGCAGAGGAAACTTACTAGTGTTTTCAAAGCTTTTATTTATTTAGTAACTTCCAAGGATATTTAAATTGAAAAGAAGGACATATATATGCTAATCTAGCCACTGTTAAGATGCATTGATTTGATAACAAATAGCTTTTCTTAGACAGTACCTTAAAAAGTAACAACCCTAATTATCTGAACTCATGAAAAGCTATTAATAGACTGTGAACTTACAGGTGCTAGACTTGAGGATGGTGGGGTGACTTCTTTTTAATCCATTGGTTGTCACAATACTGATTAAGAAATCAGTGCCTGGCAGAAGACTTTCAAATTTGTACTTTCTACAAACATTAAAAAAAGAGATCGTGCCCTTTAGCATTTTAAAATTGCAAGTCTCTCTATATATTAATTATTTACAGTATTGTGATATTATTTACACATGATGTGTGTATACATTTGTATATGCTGTCAGTCAGAAACCAGTATGATAAAATCTTAACTAGGATGCATTAAACTATAGTTCACAGCAAATTCAAGAACTAGAAAGTCTTAAAAGATTAATTTAAACATCCAGAATGACACACGGGTTCTACTGGTGCTCGCTCCAGTGCAGTATTTTGTTTGCTCTTCTTTGCACAAACACATCATGAGATCTGTGATTTGTCCTTTTTCACATGGGCATGGTAATATATATCAACTAAACCATCAAATACATATCACACTGCAGGCTACTTATTTTAAATAGACAGTGAAACATCTGGTTAGAGTTCAAGTCAGTTATTTTTTAAATGTAATCCTCATACCTTACAGTGACAGGTAACATTTTTTCCTCATTGAAGACCTTATTGTTTATTGAAATAACATATCCATCAAACATATTTTGGGCTGGTGGCCAGGTAACAGTTATTGACTCAGAGTCTCTGCTACAGTTCAGATATTTAACTGCACTTGGTACTGTGTGACAACAAAAACAAAATGCATTTCTTTTAAATACATTACCTTATGACAGGACTCATGTCAACAGAATGCAATGAAAACTCCACAAGAATTATGTCATATGCTTCCTTATCTCAAGGACACACAGGCTAATACCATCGTGGTAATGTGTATAGGGACTTCGGTTATCCACGAGATCCAGAGCCAAAGCGCCTCATCCAGACATCTTTTAAATACCATGACCCAACCACCTCCCTAACCAGCCATTCCAAAGACTGAAAATCCTTTCAGTGAAGAAATTTTTCCTACCATCCAATCTAAATCTCCCCTGGTGCAATTTGAGGCCTTTTCTTCTTGCCCTATCACTAGGTGAAGAGACCAACCCCCCACCTCCCTGCAACTTCCTTTCAGGTAGCTGTAAAGAGTGATCAGGTCTCCTCTCAGCCTCCTCCAGGCTAAACAGCCCCAGTTCCCTCAGTCACTCCTCACAGAACTTGTGCTCCAGACCCTTCCCCAGCTGTGTTGCCCTTCTCTGGACACGCTCCAGCACCTCAGTGTCTTTCTTGTAGTGAGGGACCCAAAAGTAAACACAGGATTCAAGGTGAGGCCTCACCAGTAACAAGTACAGGGGCACAATCACTCCCCTAGTCTGGCTGGACCCAAGGTTCCTGATGCAGGCCAGGATGCCATCGGCCTTCTTGGCCACTAGAAGAACTAGAACAGAACAGAACTATGCTGCTGAGAAATAAAAGTCCTAACCCAAAGTAGAACCCCAAATTTAGTCCTGATGTAAGAGGAGGCCAATGAGAGAACATCAGAAAATTAATTTAGTTCTGAACACCTGTGTTCAAACTCAGCACTGAAGTGAGAAATCAAACATTAAAGAGAAGTCTAATAAAAAAAATTGTTTTCTGTAATGTTGGTAGCAAGACAGTGTGCAAGTATCAGTTACTGGAGTGTACACACTTGCTTGAGTCATTATGCAGTTAAAAGTTGGTTGTTCATTGTACCATATTCAATATGTAACCATATTAAAATTCTTAAAGGATAGAAGCAGACATAGAGAAAATTAATTCAATAATTTTCATCATTTTCTCCTTATTCCCTTTCACTGTTATTTTTCTTGTTCTATTTGAGACAAAAAAAAAGGTCAAGAAAAAGTAGAAAACAAGACATACAGATGGACCAAAACAAATGCTGAATTTGACCACACTGTGGTCTCACCTGTCTCTATTTCCTTTGTCACAAAAACACTGTCTCTGAAACCTTCCTTTTCTGTTCGGATTGTAAAGTTGTACACCTTACCAGGAGTAAGGTTGGAAAATGTTGCTGTTTCTTGCTTGACCTTCTGGACCTAGAAAACCAAATACAGCTTTCACAGAACTGCTTGCAAGATTTGTTTGTATTATATAAATGGTATCACCACCTATTCTAATAGGAGACCTAGCTTTTAATTTAACCTTTGATTAAGTAATAGAAGACTTTTAAAAAAACAACTGCATTGCCTATACACCTAAAGACCAGTGGTCTTTTAAAGAACATACCCTGAAAGCACTTGCACAATTTATACATGCGACTTCGTATTGATGAAAGTCTCCATCAGCACGGTCCCAAGCAATCTGTATTGAAGTGTCTGTAACGTTACCTTCTCGTACATGGCGTGGAGCTGACAGACCTACAGGAGGACAGAGAGCACGCTACTGTTCAATCCAAGACTTTGTTCAATCCAATACTTTGTATGTCTCCTGTGGAGACATAAAACTTGAGACAATCAGTAACAAATTAAAACAATTGGAGAGCAAAATCTGATGCCAGACATGCAAACACACAGATATTCCAACACAGAAAAATGGAGAAAGCAGAGAGATAATATTGCCACTATTCAAGGAAAACTCCTGCTTGCTTATCTTAAAACCACACAGGGCTAAAAATGCATTTCTCCCAGAGGACAGAACTGGCACTCCTAGGCAGGAAAATCCTCCAGAGAAGAGTTAAACTAATATGACCATCATAGTGCTCAGAGTGTACCTATACTTTGTCAAATAGATGAGTAAAACTGGATACACCAGCCAAGACAAATACACTATAATTAGTAAAGCCCTGTATGATACAATTCAGATCAAATTACAGAGAAGCTTCCACTCTTCTCTGCTTCTCTTTTATCCCCACCACAGCTGCTTCTGGCTGGAATGTAACAACATTTACACTTTTTGTACAAAAAATTACATTAATGTTAGTGGTCGGAATTTTTTCTTCCAAGCTTTTTGGACCCTAGAAAGGACATACCAAAACTAAAGGCAGTTTCATGATAAATTTAAGAAATGGTTTCATAAGATTGCTCAAAACTCAATTTTTATTAGAACAATATTATAAGAAAAATCAGTTTTCAAGGTTTTCACTATTTGGGGAAGAATTTTTCTGTCTTGCCCTCATTCTCCTCTTCTTTCTTCCTTACTTCTTTTTATTCTATCTTAATTTTTCCTTTTATAACACTTCCACTCAGATAAACAGAGTAGAAAAGAATTTCAAAGAAAATTCCTATGTATTTTACATATTTATTTTCTTGAGAAACGGGAACTTCAATGCTTTTATTATTTGCGTAAAGATACACTGGAAGAAATTAACTTAGTGATTTCGAGAGACAGAAGTAACTGCATTGCTCTTGGCTAAAATAAATGTTCAAAATCTGTCTCATTTCCCACAAGTATAACAATTTGATACAGCCTAAATTCCTGAAATACATGCTAGACATTTTTACAGACCTGATATTAAAACCACAGATTAGAAAGTCTAGAAATTATAAGGGATCATTATAACCTTGTTTAAAAACCAGCTAGTGTTAGTATCATTATGAATTTCTTACAGAGATATATCAAGGTGACTTTTAAATAGCCTATCATTTTTTACTGCACTGAAGTACAATTAATTTAAAAGAGATTACAGATCAAAATTTAATACGGTGCAATTTTACAGAAATAAACTTAATACTCACATGTTTTTACACCAGATAGACGGTAAAAGGAGCTCAACATTTTCCCACTTTTTGTAGAGATGCAGAAATCATATTCTGTTCCTGCAGTAAGGTTTTCAATCATTATTTTACCATCACTTTTCAAAACGAATGCTGCATTAGGTCCTCCTTTACTTGTAACATATATGCCGTCAAATACTCCAATATCAGGCATGCGAACAAATAATACCACAGCATTGCTATAAAGCACATAAGGAACTACAATTTCAACAGGCTTGGGCTCTAAATGAGGGGAAAAAAATTGCCACATGTTAAATCAGTTGAAAATAAATTCAGTGAAAACCACACAACAAACCTGAAGCAACTGCCCCGAGAAATACACTTGCCCAGGGCAAAAAAATAGCTACCCCAATAAAACACTGCTCAGAAACAATAACAACCTGCTATTTTTAGGTGTTCATCACTGGAATCCTAAAGCATTTGAAAATTATTTAGGAATCAAAGCAAATTAGGCTTCCAAAGGTATTATTGAATTACCTTTTCAACCAGAAGCTCACAAAAAAAAAAGTAAGTCAGGATAGCTGAAAAATTTTTCAGAAAGGTACATGCGGACAAGGAAATCAAAATGGAGAATGAGATACATTTGATGGATGCAATATTGACATGTTTAGTTTTCTTCCCTTACAGCTGGCTCTGACAGCTGTGAAAAGTCCCATCTAGAATTTTCTGTCATCTGTGTCTTGAATGAGTTATTAAATCTAATCCTATATAAAAAATTCTGAAAAAGACTAAGCCTGCTACCCTCCAAAATACTGTAATCATTTGGAAAAAAAATGACAAGGCAGCATTTCATACATCTATAACCTGACAGCTGCAGCCTTTACATACCACATGGATAAGTGAATCCTGCCCATTCCTTTCACATATGCAAAAAATTTATACTGTGCCAAAAGCATTTCAACATCTTGGTAAACTAATGCTAACAGGAAAGACCCTTCAATAAACAATGTAAAGCTTTTACCTTTCAGCTACTACTCCTTTCCCAGCACCCTCTCACTAATCGCAGGGTGATTTCTCTCTCACAGTTCACCGAAAAACTAATGCATCCCCAATAATATGTTTAAATAATGAGTTTAAATAATTATATATTTTAAACACAATAATGTGTTTAAACCATTGCAGTATTTTCCTATTTCAATGCAAATCAATGATTTGCCCGATTTCTTCTGTCAGCGTGAACAGGATTCCCAGCCACGGTCCTCGGCACAGTTGTCAGTACTACCAGCGTGTTTCCCAAGGCTGCACTCTCCTTGAAAGTTAACAGCATCTACTTTGCTGTGAACAATTAGGACTGGATCAGCACATTTTATATTCTAGTTTTGATCCTTGGCTATTAAGCAAATTGACAATCTACCAGATCTGTTAGATGACAGTAATGATAATGAGATGGACGTTGTGTGTACTATAGTCTGTAGTTTCCATCATTAAAATATGTCTTACTTAAAGTGCATGGAATGGTCTTCAGTTCACTCATATTTCCATTATTCACACTTGCCACTGCTATTTCATAAGTCATTCCAGGAATTAGGAGATCAATCTTAAATTCTTCTGTATTCTTTAATAAAAACTTCCTGGTTTCACCCACGTCTGCATTAGGTTTCACTTGAATGTAGGATTCCTGACCCTCTTGTGGCAGCTTCCAGTGAAGGATTACACTCTCTTCTTGTACGTCCTCTGGGTCAATATAAACAGCTGTAGGTGGACTGATAGCTTGATCAAAGAAAAAGATGTCAGCATAAAACCACAGATCAAACTTACTATTAATTTACAATCAATTCCCAATGATGCCTTTTGGTTTATCTTTTCTTCAAAAATTTCATTATTTTAAAACTACTAATTCACTTAAGTATTTCTTAAAATAGTTTGTGGACAACAACCTGTTGCAGGCAGATTCGGCTTTCTGTTTTCTCATAAGAAACAGGGACTGACTTTACAAGTATATTCTGTCCCACTGGATTTATACAGGGTAACAAAAATGACACAGTTTGAGTCACTGCATCAATGATTAGAAAAAGAAATTAATCTGTCTTCACCTACATCATTTGAGACATCATGGTAATATTTCTACTTTGCCAAAACTAACTATTTGAACCGTAAATCAGTATTTATCAAATAGGATGCCATTTCTTTAGCACATACTAATGTGCTACAAATAAGTAAATAAGTAAAGAAATTCACTCTTTTGGAAGGATCTGAAGTTTTGATCCAGTTAACAGAAAATACAGAGATGAACTCGGCTGATTTTCCCCTGATAACATCACAACAAACCACAGTCTGTGCATGGCCTTAAAAATACTTTTGTGCCTTTTCATCTAGTGAAATAAGAAACACCAGAAAATGGATATATCACCTGTTGTGATGATTATAGGCTTCTCATGGCAGCTTAGAGTTCCTTTCTCTGCTACGTTCTGTAAATATAACTGATACTGATGATAAGGTTTTACATTTCCTATTACTGTTGAAGTTTTGCTTTTTTCAACTGATAACTGTTCCCAGATGTTGGTTTCAGTATCCAAAATGTTGATGACGTAGTAATGAAAAGAAGTACTAGATGGATGCTGTGGAGGCTTCCACTTTAAATGTATTTCTGCAGATGAAACATACATAGCCTCTAACTTCCGGGAGTGCAATGGTCCTATGGAGTAAGATTAGGAGAGAAATAGAATAATAGCTTCTGATATCTTTTACCAATAGCTAACTTCTTTTTCAAATACAGCCTGAAATGCTAACAGTATACACTTAGTTACATAAAAGCTAAATAATATTAAAGTAAATCAAACAAAGTAACACTGACTGTGTATCTAATACTGATACACAGTGGAATATTCTCACTCTCTAATTGAGGTTTTCTGAATCACCCAGCTCTTTATGTAGAACTCAGTCTCCCCACTTAGGTCCTCTCCTGTATTTCAGTCAGACCAGAAACATCATTTAAGAAAATGGTATGAATTACCCAAGTTGGTTAAAACCTGGTCCCAATGAATTAAATGTCAAAATCTACTGAATTTCTGAAAGTGCAAGTGTTCGATACACCCTGTTTTTATCAACCATTTTAAAATAAACTTCTCACATCTCCTTACCTCTTCCAATAATTCAGTCACCAGTTTAATAGCAAATCATTTTATTTAACCTTGCCTGGACAATCATGTTTCTGCGGATAGCAACGTTGCAGCTGAAAAGCCTATTTCTGAGGTAAAACACGTATTTGCTTCTCATAGGAGAAAACAGGAATACATCTTCTCCCTTACAGAGTCAACTTATGAGGGCAGAGTAGATGGGAGAGAGGACTTTCAAGTGCACTAAAGCAGCCCAGAGAAAGAAGTAAACTGTACAAAATGTACTTGCTAGAGAAGAGGAACAGATTTTTCCCCTGTAGAAACACTTTTATTTTGTTCTGACTTTAAGAAAATGGACCCCTGTCTCATATTTGGACTGTCATACCAGAACTGGTATAAACGTGAGGGCAGTATGTTTCCTTTAACTTTTGCAAATCTGAATATTTTTCCAGTACCACAGAAACAGGAACCTGAAAAAAATCTGCACCTAAAATTGTGTCCATGAAGTAAATTTTCCTTGAGAACATGTCTCTTTGATCACCTTTAGATGCAAAAGTATTTTTCATCTCTACCAACTGGCAGGTTTTGTTTTACTTCATTCAGCTGGATTTTACTGAAACACAAGGTAATTTGTTCATGAGTTTTTCTTATGCCATAATGCATCATGCAGTGGGTCAAAACACAATGTATTCTTAAACCATGGAGCTTGTTTTAATCTTTACTGAAGATACATAGGAATATCTCTGTTTATTCCAACAAAATCTTTTACTTCAGATTGGAATGTAGGCTTCTGCATTTCATCAGTACGGCTAAAAAATATCTTATTGATACTCTGACACCCAGCTTTCCCTTTGGACATCAGTAGGAATCCTGTGAGTAAAATTGGGGTAAGAAGAAGCTTTTAAAATATACTTCACAGAAACAGAATTTGTAGCTGGCTTTCTGCCTGTGGTCATTGAAAAATCTGAGGTTTTCCTCATCAGTCCTAATAAAGCATTTCAGCACAAAACCAAAATGAAGATGTTGGAATCCACTACAGCAACTAGTCAGTGCTGGATTCAGAATTCATGGTTAAAGCTATCTATAGTTTCAGACAAAATATCAACAAAGGAGTAGTGTAATTAATGGAAAATATAAAAACTGTATGATTATCTGGTTCTTACTGCTATTTATTTTTGTAACTTACTTGTTTCTACCTTCAGAATTGGACTTAAAATAGTCTGTGCCCCTTCTGGGTTCCTTGCTGCTAATAAAAAGCTATAGCAAAGGCCAGGAGACAACTGCACAATTTTAGTTTGAGTTGTATTCACAGGCAAGCTCAGAATGTTCGGTTTCCACTGATCGAAATAGTACTTAATTATAAGTGCAAAGCCTGACTTAAGCCACATGTCTGTATCGCTCCACATAAATACAGCTTCAGTTGTCTCGACATCACGCACACTAAATGTGAAGTTTTCGGGTACCAGAGGTACTGAAAAAGAACACCAAAAATGAAAAAAATCATTGAAAATCATGAAAACCTTTTTCTTATATTTGTATCTTCAAAGAAAAACATAACTGGAGGAAAGCTTTTAAAAATAAATGCAAAAGAATGGAAGAAAAATGGTTACATTCATATTCACAAATATATGGTAGCTGTATATAGCAGAAAAATCCTGTGAGGAAGTAGTCTGGACCAGTGGGATCTCTCTGCAGGGCATAGCAGTCAGTTTCATTTTCTGGTATCATTGACAAAGTCGAGATGCCAGCCTTTAGAAGATAAGCAGATCCATCTGTCCACAAGAGCTGACCTTCTTCCTACAATGGAAAAGATGAAATTAAAAACTCCATGTATCTTTGCATTATACTGATGAATTATTAAGGCTTTTGTCATTGCGGGCATATCTGCTAAACATCAAAAATACACATACTTCATTTATACAAATTAATTATACAGGGATGTTTGGAGTGAAGTATTTCAGTGTAAAATTTTATCCCTTCTATTACAAGAAACTACAAGGTAAGAATATAATATAATAGCCACATAAGGCTAATATAGAGTGATCATTACAAACAAAACTGTGATACAAACCTCTGTAGTAGTGCTTGTAAGAAAAGCCTCAGTAAACAGACTTGGGCTACCCTTCTCCTTTCCTATCTCTGGAGCACTGCACAGTGTCAGGACAGACGAGAGCGTGACACCGAAGTGTTCCATTTATTCTTATGCAGTGCACTGACCTACATCTCCAGGGTCCCTGCTGTCTCACAAGAACGCTCACCCTCATCAGGAAGGATTTTAATGCAGATACAGATCAAAATAGGGTTAAAGAAGGAGAAACTGTGACAATAAAAATGCTATAAAACTAATCCTGCTCACAATGTCGCTAATTTTTATCAGTGTCACAGTGACACCCCACCAAAACCAAGAAAGCCAGCCCCAGACTTTGGTAGCCACGGTAAGATTTAAAATCTGGTAATGCAGCACCACCTGCAGGCAAAAGAATATCCCTGTGATGCACTCGCAGAAAAAGAAATATTAAACAGGTTATGTATATAAACTATGCCTTTTTCCCAGCTACAGCCTGATAAATATTTTCAGTATTTCTAAATAGAAAGAAATAATGATTCTTCTTATAACTATTAACAACTACAAAAAAACCCCAAACGATTTCCTCTGTAGCAGTTTTTATTCCAAAGAATTGGGCTCTATACTTCAAAGTTCTCCTGCTTCCATATAGGTAACAGCAAAGAAGATAAAGCTGACTGACCTTTAGGTCGTTAAGACCCGTCCATAACATGATTATCTGACTAAATGTCTGGAGATAAGACAAAATAAAACTACGTTCTTCTTCACTCTCTATGTCAAGCAGATGTGCCCCTCGTGAAGACGTTTCGCAGGTTTGTTGTGCCGCTTTCCACGGCTTGCTCTCCTTACTGACTCGATAGCAGCTGCTTTGGAATGCCACCCACCCGTGGGAACAGGTGCCTATAGGTGAACAAGGACAAAGATTTTAAAGACATTCTGTACCATTTATGCCGGTGCTACAGTTTTAGATTTTATATAATTACACACACATTTTGATGATAATAGCATCTAATTAACTAATGACTGTAAATCCCCAAAAATTCAGTAATTATGAGTCAACTGTCCTTCAAAATCTCCAGTGTCCTAAAAAATTCTGAGTGACTGCATGAAGAGTACCAACTACAACCCACTGAAGCAAAAGAAAAAAAAAAAAAAAAAAAGACATAAAAGACTTCTATGCTATTCCAGGAAAAAAAAAAAAATCATTCTTTAAGCTTAGTTTCTGACAGTTCATTTTTTAAATTTTGAAATTGAAGTTAGCAAATCATTCGTTCTTAATAGTTTCCTGAGTTTAGGAAAATAATTATTTTGTTCAATCTGAACCTATATCATCCTTTCTTTTGTGTTGCTAATTTTAAATATTTTAAGTTGCATTATCAGAGTAGGACACTTGACAGAATGAAGTTACACAGCCAAGCCATAACAACCTCAGAATCCAGCCTCCTTCAAAGAGCTGCTAACAAAACAGTGCAGCTAGGTTAGTCACTCAGCAGTACAAAACCATCTGTTAAAACGCAAAAAGTATTCCAAATCCCTGACAAATTCAGGCTTTTGCCTGCCTTTTCATTGAAATTATACAGCAAATTCAATCCATACCATCAAATAACTACAGTGTTATACCCCAACATTCACGTGACTATTTTAGACTACAAAAAATGCAGTTAACTTAAAATATTTGCACATACAAAATTGACTTCTTACTCATAAAAACACTAAGAAATATTGATTAGAAATAACCTATGCCATTAACATTACATTTCTTTTAGCTTTCGAGAAGTGAAGCAATCCACACCTATTAAAAAATGTAAAATGGAATACAAGCTTTTTACAATATACTCTTAACTCTTCTAGAAAATATGCAGTGCTTCCTTGCATTTACTGTGACTGCAACAAACTCAGTTATATACCTGTTTCGGCTTGAACATCCAGTGACTGAGAAACATTTACACATTCACGATGCAATTGTTCAAATGTAAACTTAAAGGCATATAAGGTGTCAGGTGTCAAATTACTCCATACGAAGAATCCGCTGGGATTTTTTACAATTTGAGAAGTACCATTCAGGGAAACTGACACTGAAAAGTCTTTCATCATTGTGCTCCAATTAAAAGACACTGTAGTAGGGGTCACAAAAGTTTTGATGTCATTTTCTGAAATTCCACCTAGTAGACCAAGAAAAAACAAATACTGTCTTTATCACAACAGAATAAGTAGCTCAAAGTTTTATTGAATTAATTTTTTTTTATTTTAAGAAGTGATGATAAGAAAGTGTGAGAACAGAAAATGCCTTACTGAGCAATTCAGAAAGTCATGATCCTTTTTGCTTTGTCATGGTATGTAAACTGAAGTCTGAAGCAACCAGAAATAAAATATAAGTGCACAGTTTAAGGAGTGTTTGTCTGCAAAAGTACACACTTTGCTAGAATATCAGTGAAGTAATAGATGTCAAGTACAGTAACGTATTAGTAGCATAACTAAACTATTATTTCACATAATATATTCACGTACCAGATCTCAGCAGAGTCGATAGCTGCTGCACTGTTTTCAACTTACTATTTATTTTTCCAATTATGTTGTTTACATTCAGACCCTAGACTGTATTCCAAAGCTAGTATGAGCTTGTAATGTCTGCAGAGGTAATGCTATAACATATTCTAAAATAATTAACAAAATTAAGATCAGAAAGCCCTTTCATTCTAGCACTTCCAGTGGGACTTGTGGTACTGAACAGATTTACAGCTATAAATGATGGTTTTATAAGTTTACTGTTTGGACTCAGAATATCTTATACTAAAAGTCTGCCCCATTTAGTCACAATACTAAGATCTCCAAGCTATTCATCAACCCTCTTTAAAGAGGAACTGTCATAAAGTGGAAACAAAAATATTTAAATCAAATACATTAGTTTATTGTTATGTAACACAATCACAACCCTACGTTGACATGAAATTGCCAGACTTTATGAAAGAGGACCATTGAAAAATTTACTTAAATCTCTTGTCCTACAATTACTGTAGTATAGCAAATCCTGTAAGATTTAAAAATCTCCCAAACTTTTACATCAGTCACATATTGCAAAATTGTTACACTCACCAAACAGAAGTTATATAAAAGTTATTCCTTCTACTCTCAATGATTGAAAACATACATTGATGTAAAGTTCCTAAACACAAGAGTCAGCTCAGAATTTAAACCCCTACTTCTTTAAACTTCAGTATTAGACTAACTATAATGATACCAAAATATTTTCGTGCTACTCTACTTACGTGTCTTAAATGATTTTACACTTAAAATTCGGCCATTTTTTAGGGATTCTATGGTAATATCATACTTCTTATTTTCCTCAAGCAGAATTGTAGTACTGACAGCTTTCTGTTCAACTGTAGAAACATTTCTTATATTCTGCAAGTTAAAAGAATTTCTGGATATAGTGAAAGTAATAAAAATGCAATTCATAAGTGATCTATGAATTTTTTAAAAGGGTAGCTTATATTGCAAAACGTCAAACTGCAAAATACCCAATGCATTTAAACCAAAAACTCTTAGAAATCAATTAACAAACACCTTCATATTAAAATCCTCATGTTTTCTTTAAATTCCAGAATATCCTGTGCTCAGCATAAGAACAGCACCCTCCCACAGTGATCCGGGGGTAGTGTCTGTGCCTCTCCTGGAGAGGTTAGACAACATACCACAGTAGGTGAAGCATGTGCATATTCTTAACCGTGAACATCGGCCTATCTACCCTTACTCAACCAGGATACCCAAGAGTTTTTTAAGTCCCAGTGACTTCAACGGGACTGTGTAAGAGTGAACATAAAGGACATTAATTACAGACTTCAGGACAATTTTTTCAAACTTTATTTGTCATTTTAGGTTGTTCTTTAAACAAACACACAATGCTATTAACTACTGACATCTACAGTGTAAATACATTTGGAAGTACTTACTGCACAGATGGACAAAACTTACTTTTTGACTGAAGGCATCTGTTTGCTGGTATGTTACAATGTAATAGTCTGGATCCCCTCCCCTGGGGGATTCCGTCCACTCCAGCAAAGCTACTTTAGCAGGCTTTTTCACTCTGTCACAGACTAGACTCTCTGTACCCTGTAACAGAAACATACATTCATGCCACTTAGTAGAAAATGCAGTACACCTACCTCTAACTAAACAACCGAGTTCTGACAATTTTCATTACTTTTAGCTAGACGATGTCAGTTAGCAACAGGTTTTATATCGACCAGTCTTACCAGCCCTGCTGTGTGACATGCAGGGGCTTCATAACTTTCACGAGTTCTGCAGGTGCAGGTTCTATTTTAATTTCTCCCTCCAGAGGTGCCCAAACCATGACAGCTGACCCAAACATGCCCTCCTGGGAAAAGAGAATCCTGCCATCATTTTAGAAAAGAGGTCAGAGACTTGCAGTAAACGTACTGCAATCAGAGTCAGCAGCCAGTCAGGAGCTGGAGGTCTCAGACCTATTCTCACACTACCTGGTAAAGAGTCCCAAATATTTTAGAGTAAGAAAGAGCAACGTTCAACAGGTAAATAAATAGTTTACTAAACACCTCCCTACCTATTCAATTTAGACATGGCAGTACAAACTTTGTTCAGTATTTCAACTTCTTAGAGGTCAACTCTTTCTAGACACGAGTCCTCTGTATTCTTGATGCTACCTTTTTAATAATTGTACCTGCCTTCGAGGGACTTTGGCTTAGCTGTTTAGAGAAGCAGGTTCCTTCCAAGTCTGAATTTCATTTGGAACCCGAAACTTATGGGTTGCTGCTATCTAACAAGACATAAACCTGAATCACACCTCTATAATTCAGAAAAATTTGGCCATGTGATGCTAAAACCTATCCCATAACATTTATTAAAAGACTGCAGTTCTGTCTTTTAAGTTCCATTTTTATTTTATTTATGAATTGGGATGACAAATAAATTCCATCATTTAGCAATGAACTCAAAATATAGTTCAAAAAACAAAACAAACCACAAATCAAGGCATGAATAGGAACCCTAGCACACTAAAATAAAGGTTAGGAAATTTATTATTATACTACATTGCGTTGTCCTGTAAAACCACCTACTACACACAAATACACAAAAAACACCCCAAAACCAAACCAAACAAACAAAAAACCACTTAAAAGTACAAAACACAGCTCTTTCCCATTTGTTACGACAACACACTCTTTGAGACAGTTTGGCTTAAGGTAAATTCCTTTAACAAATGACTAACTAACAAAGCTATAAATCTATCAAGATCTTCACGTTCAGAGTTTAGATCACACTTTTTAAGCTTTAGGAAGTTTATAAAGCCTTTAATCTCCATAAACCCTTTATAAGAGGGTACATACCACCTCTTGGAAACCCCTGAACTATAATTCTAGAATACTGGACTAAAATTGATGGCATACACAAACTTGTTTAAGGATATCACACATTCCAGGAGAAGCAGCAGGCTTGATTTATGGGTGTATAGCTGACTTGCCTTCCCTGAAAACAAGCTAGACGAAGCAATCCAAAGGGTAGGAAAATCTTCTTTTAAAGATAGTTAAAAAAAGTCTATGTTCCAATAACAGAATTTAAAAATATAAATAATTTTCTACTGTCAACAATATTGTATGCCATTTTACTGTACATAAATACACATGCTAAACCTAAAAAAAAGGAATATATTTGCAAGTATACACAGAAATTTCAGCATATTTCTATCTGATGAGAAGGATTTAGAACATGCCTTTTTGCTGCCAACACCTTGCCAGTACTTCAGGCCATTACCCCAAGACTGCAGAAATTAAAAAATGAAAATAGTTGAATTGAGCACAAAAAGCTAAGGTTCAAATCTATCTTCAGGCTAGCTACACACCAGCCAGGAAACCTAAACTACAACACTTACTGACTTCTGCTATCGACTGCTTCTCAACAGACAACTCAAGAGAGCTTCCCAGTCTGAAAAAGAGGAACTTGAGGGGAAATCAAACAGAGATCCATAAAATCTTAAGTAGCCAGAAGAAGCAAGCAGAGATTCATTTTTCATTTTCTTTTGTAGTAGAAGAACATGCGAAGGATGAAATGTAGCTGGTATGCTGCAGATTGAAAGCAAACAAAAAGAGGCAGTTCTTCACAAAATAAATAGTTTCTCTGAGAAAGCTTAAAGCGAGTACTAAACTTTCTATGGGCTTCAGAGGAGGCCAGACAAGTTCATAGAACAGAACTACACTGAAGCTCAAAAAATGCACTGCAAGTACATCCATCTCAAGAAGTCCTTAAGCTGCAAACGGTGCAAAACTAACACACTAGAGATAATTTTCTTATTATGCTATTCTTGCAGTCCTCCCCCAGTGGCTTTTTGTTGCTGCTGGGAGTATGACAGTGAACTCACTGAAGTTTTTATTTCACCCCATATCACCATCCTTCAGAGCCAGGCAGTCTCAACTACTCTGCAACGGTCAGGAAACCTCCCTGAAAAAGGCAAGTCACAGATTGCTTCACGACAGCTTCCACAAAACCCACTTGTTCTCAAGCTCAGAATTGGCCAGTGCAATCTGGCCAATTGCAATCTGACGCTGTCTGGATATTCTCAAGGAATATACTTGGGAGGCTGGGTACCGCAGCATTATTTCACCACCCCAAATACACAGCTCTCTTCTCCAAAGAAATGGAGTGGTATCTGTACCAGTAATTGACAGAGCTTTGAAATCAGCTTTGCTACAGAGCACATTAAGTTAAATGTAAAATAAAGACTAAACATACAAAACCTACATATAGCTAAATATAGACAAGACTATTGCAAAGTGTACTAGAAAAGTAAGCAGAAAGATATATCTGATTGCTATGTATGTGGTTCTTCCAATAATAGTCAGACACAAGGACCAACCCACAAATGGCTGTTTTGGATCAGAAAGTAAAACACTTCTTGCAGAAGTACACTTCCTAAAGGGGTAGCCAGAATCTACCCCTGGGTCCCAGAATGATCTTGAATTTCCAGTATCACCGTGCATGTGTCTGCAATGCCCAAAGGGTGACAATTCACACAGCAATATGACCTTGCCCATGACTTAAAAATTCTGGGTTCTCTTACTTCTTCTGGGGAACAACAGTAAACCAGAAGCAGCAGGCAATAAAGCAGATTAAGGATCTCAAAACACCTTCCAACAGTTCAAACAGAAGGAAGACTGGGAATGCTCAGTAGCAGTAACTGAGAGCTCCCTGTAACTGCTAGAATGACCAAAAAAAAAAAAAAAACCAAAAAACCCTCCAACAAAACAAAACCAAACCAAACCCAAAAAAACCAGTCCAAATCATGAACGATCAAACATCCAATTAGAAGACCGTAGAATCATCGAATGGGACCTTAAAGACCATCTAGTTCCAACCCCCCTGCCATGGGCAGGGACACCTTGCACTAGACCAGGTTGCTCAAAGCCTCATCCAGCCTGGCCTTGAAGACATCCAGGGATGGGGCATCCACAGCTTCTCTGGGCAACCTGTCTACCTTCAAGAAAATAGATCTATCCACCTTCAAAATAAGGGAATATTTTTCTTACCTTAAATAAATATTTTAATAAAAGCAGGAGAAGAATTACTTGATCCATAGAGAAATGTTACAGCCTCAGAGTCTACAGCTTCAAAACAAAACCCTGCTAGAGTACCTAAGACGTAAGAAGAGGAAAAGCTGATACACGGGTTTATAACTCACATAGATACAGCAGCAGCCAATGGTGCACCCGAGATTCGCCTTTGCCCTGGCCCTGCCTCTTCCCAGGCATGATATAAAGCTTCCCGAGATCAGCAAAAACCTGTCCTTTAACTTCACCGAACTAGGGGGGTGCCTGTTGTTCATTAATCAGCACAACCCACCTCAGTGTAAACGATGTCAGTATTTTTAAGTTTTACTAGCAATGACTGGACCGAAATCCACTGAAACCGGTGTAACCCCTCGCACTTCTCTCGGGAGCCGCGGGCTGCCCTCCGCAGTCCCCGACGTTTCCAGCAAGCTGCCCGTGTCGGTGCTCAAAACAAGCCCTAAACCTGTTTTCGGTGGGAGTACTGAGCACACCTGCAGAACCCACGGGTACCTCTCGCCAGGGCGTCCCACGGCAGTAAATGGACACGGTGTAAGTTTATGACAATTGCTGTTAAATGTGCCCATCGTGGACAGGTGCACGGCAGCGGAGCCCCGGGAACGGCAGCAGCACGTCTGGAAGTGCTTACGGAAAACACAAAACCCTGCTCTGGGTGTAAAGGCAGAGCCTGTGCGTCTCCTCACAGGCACACCACCTACTTCTCAGAGGACTCCTTAAACTCCTAGTTAGTAACTCCAGCACGCAATTCCCGGGGGAAGCGTCCACCGCGCCAGGCAGCCCGGAGCATGAAAGGGCAGAAGGAAGAACCGCCGCCGCGCCCCCCAGGCA